AAACAATTTTAAACGAATTAAATTGTATTTAAATTTAAAAATCAGACAAAAGATTCAATCACCCCAGATGGGACTCGAACCCACAATCCCTGGCTTAGGAGGCCAGTGCCTTATCCATTAGGCCACTGGGGCTATACGGTGGGTTAACCTTGCTGGTGGCTATTTAATAGAACAGCCACTAGAGGGGGTAGTAAATACCAAGGATGGTTCTTGTTGCAGAAGTCTCTGTCACTGTGAGAAGCCACGAATCCTGGTAATCCGAAGGTAAATTAAAAAATGAAACTAATGAACCTCAAAAATATATTCTTATCAAATGAAAGTATTACCTCTGCTGAGGAAGTGATGCTATTCTCATTGTAAGAGTGGAGCCCTTATGGGAGGAAGTAAGGTCTGGGGAAGTTACTGGAATTTCATTTGGGAACCCTGGGAAAGAATGTGAGTAAGAGCTGGTGCAGTATGGAAACTACACAACATGATGGGCAGCATTCATTATTTATAGTTCATAATTCATAAATACATCAAATAATATATCCCTCAAACATGAGCCTTTCACTACCTTATTGGAGATGAAATCTTGTACGAAATTCTGTATTTTTATTTTTTCTGTCCTGAGGGTTATTGGGGGAGAAAGGTATCAATTTATTTCCTTTCTGGACCTTGAAAAATGTTAACACACCAGATGATGCTTGTGAAATCCATCCCCAAACCTGAAACATTCCAGCAGAATCACTGCCTCTGAGGACCTGTTTGAGGACAGTCTAAAAGGTTGTATGACTCTTCAATTAGACTTTGGAATCATGCGAAGGAGACAGGAGGTACTAATGGATCAGTGCACCAGCCTTTCGCCTGTGGAACCAACTAAGCTGAATCCTGTTTTCAACCAATATCCACACACAAGACTTCCCAGTAGGAATCAGTGGATAACAATCCGGAGTGGCAGCACTGCTGATTTTAGCTTTCAACACCAGTGAAACTGAAACTATTATTAGTGCTCCCTACCTATATAACCTATAGTTTACTCCCAAATTATTTTCCAACAATGGTTATGGGACATCATTTTGATTGTTCCAGAATCATTAAACTGGACCCACTTTCTAGAATTCCATCTCGGAGTTCCTCTGCCTTTCTCTCTCCCTCCCGCCATCAAAACTCACTTTCTTTTCAACTACTCTTTCATTCACCTACCCCTTCAAGTTGAGCTCCCATTTAGGTGTTCCACCCAAAGTGAAAGGTGCCATATCAATGTAAATTTTAATTGTAAGACCAATTTCCCCTGCCTGTCTGCATTCTGTGAAAAATATGACTAGATCAGATTTTTTCACTAAAATGAAATCATTTAATGAGACCTGGTTCCTATTCCAGTTCTTTCTCAGGCTCTGAAGACTGGCCTTTGTGGTCACATGGAGGAAACATATGGAAGCGATTGACCTTGAGCAAGTCAAATTGTTAAACCTGTTTTTTTTATTGGGGATAGGAAGTGAATCCAGGAATTAAATAAGAGGACTGCAATTTTTGTAATTGGGATTTTTTTTTGTCAGCCGGGACATATACTTAAACCGAATGTTTAAGAGTGTCCAAACCAGTCTGAGTTCCACATATGCATGCCACGTCCCTGGAATGATGTGCACACTTTCTCTCTGGAGAGATGCACTATCATACCTATTTCTGGAAAATATTAGGTGGAGGTTGGCAAATCAAAGACTTCTTTTGATCCAGCTTCTTCTGCATCTACATCTCCTAATGCTGATTCCACATTCAATATATTGTGCATATGTGAATGTGTTATATTTATTTACAAGCATTTGTGTACATGAATGTACTATACATGACTGTACATGTTTATGTATATAATCTGTGCATTATAATAATAATTCTTGCATTTGATAGGTCCCTTATCACAGTGAAATGTCTCAAAGCACTTCACAGAATTTTCTACAAAGTGCAATATCATACAATATCATACAAACAGCCATGTAGTAAATAACAGAGAGAAACTTCATTCTCTTTTTGAATAGTGTAGCAAGTGTAGCAAGATCTTTACCATCCACCTGATAAGTCAAACTGTCTGTAGCTGTGTAGTGTGAGTCTATGTACACTTGTGCACTTGTGGGCATGTTCTCAGTATCTATCAGCATTAGTACTGTACAGTGTTACTCCCTTACTCACCATAATCTCAAACAGATTCATACTTGGGAGTCATCCTCAGAGTATTCCTCAGTGTTCTGACTGACAGATGGGAATATCTTCATTCTTGTATATGGCATCCCTGGAGGTACACAAGTCCCGTCATTCCCTAACTCCTAGAGAAGATAAATAATCAATTAACAGCAGTTTCATTGAGTTCAGAGCAAAGCATTCAAGTAAAACTACCATTAACAACTTCCATTGTATCGATACATTGACAGACAGATAAAGCCTTGCATTGCCTGGGCTGATTTCTTAGAATTTTCAGTGGAGAGTTCTACCATACAGTAAACCTCACATAAGTCATATCAGTAGGGACTATACATTTAGTGACTTATGAAAAGTATGAGTTATGTCAAACTTGCATAAGTCATATCATATACTCCCAGGTCAGGTATAGGACTATTAGCAGCAAATTAAGGTTCCTCTAATCTCCCCATCAATGTGCATCAGGTTGAGAATGCAATATAAAATTTACTGCTCTTATTGCAATATAAAATGTTCTATTTCCAACACCAGCCACCACGTGGATCCTCTGAGAGACATTTTTTAATGTCAACCTGTGAGCAGGTTTGTACCATGCATCAGTCTTCATTGTGTTGAGATTACCTAAATTAATTCTAACTAAGAAACTTATACCTGGCAGATGGAAAAGTTCCAGAGATTAAAGGGCTGTGTTATAACCTGCTTTGACACCCAGTATTGGACATATTCCCAACCTAGTATAAATCATGTTGCAAGATAATTAACTAAACAGAAATACTCCTGCTAATATAAATGGAAACAAAAAAGTCAGGTTGATGGATTCTATGTGAGATTCAGAGAGGGATCTGGAGGTAGAGCAGGTCAGCTCTTTGAATGGTATTGTTTTAGTTCACAAGAATGACCTTACTTATTACCACTACTTACCCAAACTACTGCAAGAATTATTTGTTTGTCAGACGAAGTCCATTGCATGAATACCTCCTATAGTGTCTTGTGCTAATGTGTCTCAAGACCTTCCTCTCTGAAGGGAATTTCCCTCTCCGGCTGTCCTGGCTGACAATCCCCAGATAAAATGGGTCATTCACTTCATAGCTTTTTGTGGGACATCGTGGAACGCAAATTATCTGCTACATTCATCCACTACAGTCACACTTCAGTGATTACCTGAGAGCTGGGGGTACCTCTGAGAGTTGGAAGATAACAGGGACAGTCAGTCGGAACTGGGTGTCGGGGAGGAGAGTTTAGGGGTGTCGGGGGGGAGAGTTTGGGGGTGTCGGGGGGAGAGTTTAGGGGTGTCGGGGGGAGAGTTTAGGGGTGTCGGGGGGAGAGTTTGGGGGTGTCGGGGGAGAGTTTAGGGGTGTCGGGGGGAGAGTTTGGGGTGTCGGGGGGAGAGTTTGGGGGTGTCGGGGGGGAGAGTTTGGGGGTGTCGGGGGGAGAGTTTAGGGGTGTCGGGGGGAGAGTTTGGGGGTGTCGGGGGGAGAGTTTAGGGGTGTCGGGGGGAGAGTTTAGGGGTGTCGGGGGGGGAGTTTGGGGGTGTCGGGGAGGAGAATTTGGGGGTGTCGGGGGGGCGAGTTTGGGGGTGTCGGGGGGAGAGTTTGGGGGTGTCGGGGGGAGAGTTTGGGGTGTCGGGGGGGAGAGTTTGGGGGTGTCGGGGGGAGAGTTTGGGGGTGTCGGGGGGAGAGTTTGGGGGTGTCGGGGGGGAGAGTTTGGGGGTGTCGGGGGGAGAGTTTGGGGGTGTCGGGGGGAGAGTTTGGGGGTGTCGGGGGGAGAGTTTAGGGGTGTCGGGGGGAGAGTTTGGGGGTGTCGGGGGGAGAGTTTGGGGGTGTCGGGGAGGAGAGTTTAGGGGTGTCGGGGGGGCGAGTTTGGGGGTGTCGGGGGGGAGAGTTTGGGGTGTCGGGGGGAGAGTTTGGGGGTGTCGGGGGGAGAGTTTGGGGGTGTCGGGGGGAGAGTTTGGGGTGTCGGGGGGAGAGTGTTGGGGGTGTCGGGGAGAGGGTTGGGGGTGTCGGGGAGAGTGTTGGGGGTGTCGGGGGGAGAGTTTAGGGGTGTCGGGGAGGAGAGTTTGGGGGTGTCGGGGGGAGAGTTTAGGGGTGTCGGGGGGAGAGTTTGGGGGTGTCGGGGGGGAGAGTTTGGGGGTGTCGGGGAGGAGAGTTTGGGGGTGTCGGGGGGAGAGTTTGGGGGTGTCGGGGGGAGAGTTTGGGGGTGTCGGGGGGAGAGTTTGGGGGTGTCGGGGGGAGAGTTTGGGGGTGTCGGGGGGAGAGTTTGGGGGTGTCGGGGGGGAGAGTTTAGGGGTGTCGGGGGGAGAGTTTGGGGGTGTCGGGGGGAGAGTTTGGGGGTGTCGGGGGGAGAGTTTGGGGGTGTCGGGGAGGAGTTTGGGGGTGTCGGGGAAGAGTTTGGGGGTGTCGGGGGGAGAGTTTAGGGGTGTCGGGGAGGAGAGTTTGGGGGTGTCGGGGGGAGAGTTTGGGGGTGTCGGGGGGAGAGTTTGGGGGTGTCGGGGGGAGAGTTTGGGGGTGTCGGGGGGAGAGTTTGGGGGTGTCGGGGGGAGAGTTTGGGGTTTTCTGCACTGAGTGACCTCTCGGCGCGCGCTCTGCCTGTCACGTGCCTGTTTTGAAAACCAAACGAAGTTTTGTGGCACGAGCCGCGGAGGGCGGGAGCCGCCGGCAGCCAATCAGGGACAGAGCTGGGAGCGGGAGCCGCCGGCAGCCAATCAGGGACAGAGCTGGGAGCGGGAGCCGCCGGCAGCCAATCAGGGACAGAGCTGGGAGCGGGAGCCGCCGGCAGCCAATCAGAGACAGAGCTGGGAGCGGGAGCCGCCGGCAGCCAATCAGGACAGAGCTGGGAGCGGGAGCTGCGGGACCGGGGTACGGCTCACTGGGGAAAATGGCGGCGGTACAATTGGAATCCCTGGAAAAGTGTCTGGAAAGGCATGTGCCCCCGGAGGAGCTGCGGGAAGTTAGGAGGATTCTGTACGGTAAAGAGACGAGGTGAGTGAGAGTGTGGAAGCGGCTGCTGCGCGGCGCGGGTGATCATGAAAGATGCCTTTGCCTGTGACGCAGACCCGGGGGAACTACCGCCCCCAGAATGCAGTGCGCTGACTCCCTGTGGGAGGCCTGAAGCTGCTCACAGGGGAGAAGGGATCCTATTTTCTACCCCAACTTCTCCCGCCCACAGTGTCAAGCGGTCAGTAGGGCTGCAGTTATAGTAACAGCAAACTGACAGCACAAGAAGGCTGTTTGGCCGTTTTGATCTAATTCTTACAGATCTTCCACCCTATTTCCCCCCCTCACAGTGTCAAGGTATTTGTAAATGAGGCGAGTGTACTGGCCTCAGACACTTAACAACCTGTTCCAGTCGTTAGTTACTCTCTGGGTAAAGAAAAACTTCCCAGTGTCTGTCCTGAAATTTCCCCTTTCCAACTCCAACCTGTGTTTTCTTGTTTCACTGTAATATGTTTTTAAATAAAGTTAAAATCTCAAACAGATCCTATTAATATTTAAACACTGGCTTAATTATTAACCACAGCAAAATAAATTCTCACTGAATAACTGGAGAAAAGATAAGGATTAATTCAAATGTCACTGGAGAAATCTAAACTAGAAACAGCAGCACTTAAAATGCACAGCAGATCAGCATCTGCAAGTAAGAGTTAACATTTTGCAAAGGATCCTTCAATCAGAATTGGAAATAATTGGGTTGGAGAAGCTCTGTTTGGGTTGAGGACAATAATAGTTCTTTCTTTTGAAACTGCCTTAATGTTGGTGAGATTTCTCAAAACACAGGAATTGTTAAATGTAGTGACTGCATTTTGTAGGTAAACACAAAATGCAATTTACACACAGCAAATAATAATAATATATAATAATAATAAAGCCCCCAAACAACAACAAATTATATTTGTATAGCGCTTTTCACGTCGGGAGGACATTCCAAGGCGCTGGACAGTCAGGGATTTGAACCCGAGAAGGGGTTGGGATCGAGGTGTGGAGGGCAGGGAAGGTGGGGATAGGAGGGTGGCCGAAGGCACAGTCAAAGAGGAGGGTTTGAGATGTGCCTTGAAGGAGCAGAGACGGGAGTGAGGCGAAGGGACTGGTATGGCGTTCCAAAGGGTGGGGGCAGAGAGGCTGAACTCCCAACCTCCGATGGTAGGGTGGGCCGGGCAGAGGATGTGGAGCAGGCTGGAGTCTACTGAGCGGAGGGACCGGACAGGTTGATATAGGGTTAGCTGGTCACAGAGGTGGGAAGGAGCAAGGCCGTGGAGGGCCTTGCAGGCGAGTATGAGGATTTTGAACTCTATCCTCTGGGGGATAGGGAGCCAGTGGAGCCGGGCAAAGATGGGGGTTGGTAGGGTTACGGAGCCTGGTGAAACAGCGATGAAGTGAATGACAAATTTTATCTGGGGGGATTTTTGGCCAGGACACTAACAGAAACCCTTTCTCTTTTTAAATAGTGAATGAGATCTTTAATGTCCACTGAATAGGCAATTGGGATCTTGGTGTAAATGTCTCATCCAATAGACAACACCTCCAGCAATGCAGCACTCCCCCATTACAAGTTTATTGTTTGTTGATTTATTTCTAGATCATCATTCCTTTTCTGATTTTGTCATTAATTTAGGTACTATGTGCCCTGTGATTCATGTGGATGTTCTCACCAACCTCTGTGTGAAGATGTTGCTCCTAAATTCACTTTTAGATCTATCTCATATTTACAGCCAGGAAGGAAGCACAGAAAGCACTGCTAATTTCCTCTGCAAAGCACTTGTGCATGTCCCACAGGATGTGATGTGAATGGCATTTCCGGCACATAGCATCTATACCTAGATTTTAGGAGTTGACTTTAGCGGGGATTCTTGGACAATAATAATAATCCTTGCATTTGATATAGCCCCTTAACACGTCTTCGAGATGTCTCAAAGCGCTTCACAGATTATACTGTAAAATGAATTGACTGTATATTTTGTGGGTGAAACAAGTTGGCCATTTTTTTAGTGTGGGAAAGTGGATAGTCAATGCCAGAAGTCGAGTGTGCCATGCTTCCAGTTAACATTAGTCCACAGTACTATAAGTGAGCCAACTCTCTCAAACGGTGCTTCAGTTGGGTTTCCCTGTACTACCTTCAACTACTACTTTCCTGTTTTGAAGGAGTGGGTAGTGCTTAGAGCCACCTTGAGTGGTAAAGAGGTTGACAGGCATGCTCTGAATTAAGCATGAAAAGACTGCAAATCACATTCCGAAATGAATCTGTTCTTAAGGGTGTATTTGTGTGGGCATGTGGACATTTGTAACCTGTTTCAACCTGTGCAGAAAAGAATGCCCTGAGTCATAAGTGCAAAATGTAGTCAATTGTTCCCTTGTAGATTGACTTGGTGGACATTCATTAATGTGTGGGGAGCAGTGGCCTCTTTGTTCAAAGTTAACTTTGGACTCTTGCATTTCTGCAAACTTTTTGCAGGAAAGACCTGCCCTCATAATAGCTCACTGTGTATGCCATTGCATTTTGTCAAGAAACATTACATCAAACTTCAATAAAATAATAACAAGGTCTCCTGTACTTTGTACGTCAAAGTTAGAAAACAATATTGAGTTTATGGTACTGAAAGTAGGTACAGAAAAAGAAAAGAGTAAATTATTTTGTGTGGGTTATGTTACTTTTATGGGAAAAAATAATACAAATGGCATAGTAGCTTTTTAAAGGTAGAGTAACTCAGTACATTTTTCATTTCAGCAATCATTTTCATTTTTGCGATTAATGAAAAATTATTTTTACCTCAATAGATGATTTGAAGAGTCATAACTGTAATGACAAAAGCACAATTCAAATTATAACAATTATACAGTCATTCAAGCTTATTTTTAATTTTTAAATATTTAATTTTTGAGGACATTAAAAATTAATTTAGAAGCCATCCATTTTGATCCACTTTGTTTTCTTTAAAAATCCTATTCCTGATTTTTAACTGCTTGATTTACTCTTGCAGAATGTTGGATTTGCCTCTGTGTGCCCTGGAAACAGCCGTTGAGAGGGATTTTGAACTTAAAGGCTTAGGGTTTGAGGCAGCCCCAGAGCAGCTGCGTCAGCCCAGGATTGTGCGGGTGGGAATTATTCAGAATAAGATTGTTCTTCCTACCAATGCACCTGTTGCTCAGCAGGTATGGGAAATGCATGGTTAAACTCTTAAGCTTTGATTTTCTGCTGAAATTAAACAGATGTATGTAGCATGCAGGAAATGACATCAGCTGTTGATGATCCAGAATTTGGCCATTTTTTTCTTACTGACTAAAAACGTGTCCGGTTAGGGTTGGACCCAGCCTCCTGCGCTATGTGAAAGGTTTCCTGTATTTGCAGGTTAATTTCTGTTTTCTTCACCTAGTATTTCCAAAATCCACAAATGCTATGATTTGGGTGAAACTATTTATTAGTAGCAAATATTTTAGTTGTAAAACTGATATTTAAGCAAGACTTTCTTTTAAATGCTCAGGTTGCAGCAATGCACAAACGGATTGGAGACCTTGTGGAAGCGGCTGCCATGTGTGGAGTAAACATTGTCTGTTTCCAGGAAGCCTGGAGTGAGTCTCTGAGCACCCACAAGATTCATCTAAAACATAACATGGTTTCCCCTCTTCCCCCTCCTCCCATACACACACAGTTACATACATATAGTTAGACAATTTGGTGAAGGATCAAATGTAAAGATATAGAATCTATACTGAATAATATTTTCCTGCCAACAATGAAAGATCAAGCAATATTTCAAGTTGTAGGAAGAGCGAAGAGAATTGACATTAAAAATATTTTTCCTGTGGTTGTAAGATGTGAGAAGAGTATAGGGAGGGGTGGGGAGAGAATTAATTCTCAAAGGCTAGGTGATGTTTGCACAGGAAGGTGGAGAAAATCAGAGCAAGTCACCTAGGGCTGCTCTCCTGCCCCTCTTGAATCTGTTGTCTGAGTGAGACTCTGGGTCCCTGTACATCCTCAGCCATGGATAACATTTATTTCATTAAGTGGACTTTTTTTGTCACTGCAGGTGTATGAATAAAATTTGGAGTTGAAATAAAGCCATTATTTTGTGGAAAACTCATCAGATCATGTAATTTTAAATTCAGTCATCATGAGGCAGCAGAGAAATGCATATTAACACAACAGAGTTTCTTATGTACCATTAACTGTGGTGCAATATATTACAGCTCTTTGTGCTCTTGAACTGCAGCCCAGGGAAAGAAAATTATTGCTTCTGACGCAGAATATTTTTTCTAATGTTTGGATCTGCAATGTGTAGGACATCAATCTGTGGCAAGGTCAAGATCTACAAGATTAATATTTTTATTTCATACTTCTATAGAGCATTTTGATCATAGAAATTACACTTTCAAATAATGTTTTTAGCCTTGAAATTGAATTTTATAAGCTTCAACATTATTGACATCGGCAATGCATTACTTAATTCAACAAAATGGTGTTAAGTGAGAATCTCTATCCAATTCTACCTGATTCCAGTATTAGAGGTACGAGAAATGTGCATAAGGAATAACTTGTGCAATTAGATGTGAGCTTTCCTTAAAGAACCCTGCATCAAACTAAAGATCACTATATACTGTGTTCTTTTAGGATGCATAATCCTTCTTTCAAAGAATGGAATATCAGATGCCCTTAATGAACTTGCTTCGGCTAAAACTATGGTTACAAATCTGTAAACCCATTGAGCGTATCTGAACCAAATTAAAACACACAGTACTTTGCAAGCCTGACATTAAAACATGAAACTATGATTTATGAAGAAGCTTTCTGCACTACAGTGTTAATTAAAAAGGGCAACTTAAAGCCCTTTTAACTTGAGACTCAGCAGCTGTGGTTTTACCTCAGGTTTACCTAGAATGTTTTTGTTTATTTTTTATTGAAGCATTTTAAACAACAACAATTCTTGCTTTTCATGACAGTATTATGACTTTCAGTGTTCAACATTCTTATTTTCTGGATATTTTGGTGACTAAGAAGTTGCACTTTTCTTCCGGTAATCGATGTTCAGTTGTCTGAGTTGTATGAGTTAACATTTACTTCTTGCATACCAAATAGCGGTAATTACTCAAACAAAATGTGATTTCTTTGCAGCTATGCCGTTTGCATTTTGTACCAGAGAAAAGCTGCCGTGGACAGAATTTGCAGAATCGGCAGAGGATGGACCTACGACTAAATTTTGCCAAGAGGTGAATTTAAAAAAAACTACTGACCATCCCCAGATTGTAGATAGCATTTTCCTCTTTGTATAAGATACAAGCCTAATATTGGAACTGTCATTTTTTGAATATCAAAGAGAAAAATATATTTGAACTTCTCAAACTTTATCTAGAATTTCCATTTGTTGAGTCTGTTGAGTTGTGAGATTTTTTTATTTAGTGGAGGAGCTGACACTGGAGTCAAGGCTTTGTGTAACTGAGCATCCTATTAAAGATTGGAATATTTTCCTTTCATTTTTGATGCAGTAAGGAGAGTGTATTCCTATGTCCTTACCCCTTTGCGAGAACAAATTAAACCTATTTCAAACCACCCACTATCTTCTCCAGTTGCTTTTCCTCCCACTTAACTAGTTACTTTGCTCTAAGCACTGCTAACTGGCAAAGGTGAGTACAAGCAAACTGATTATAGGCTTCTCCTAATAGGTTCATTATTGGACAAGTACTGTACTGCACATATTCTCTTTCCCCTAGTCCTGTATACACCGATACATCAATTTTGTATTATATTTCAACTATTTTCTAAAATATCTCAATATTTTGATCAAATTATATCCATCACTTGTTTGTGTTTCTGCAGTGTAACATTTCTGTGAATCCCTCTCATATTTTGAGTTTTCAAGTTCCAGTTCTGAGTTGCAAGTAATATATTTTAAAATTTTAAATTATATATTTATGATGTCTTCTTACATTTGTGCAATCTCAAAAACGCATACAAGAGAAACCTTGATAAGAAAGAAATACTGCATGAATTGCAAGCTGCCTACAGCAAAGAAAATGGTGCATGGTTTCATCATAACAACAACCATCCTTGGCCCCCTCCTCTTTCTGATCTACATTCCCTCTTGGGGATGTCATCCGCAGACATGGGGTACACTTCCACATGTATGCGGATGACACCCAACTCTATTTTTCCACCTCACGTTGGAACCCCCAGTCCCTTGATATTCTGTCAGCTGCCTGTCAGACATCAGGAGCTGGATGAGCGCGAATTTCCTTCAGCTGAATGTTGACAAGACAGTCGCATGATGCCTTGATGGAGAACACAAGTATAGACAAAGAGTGGTTTCAGTATAAAATGCATCTCCTTCCTGATATAAGTAACGTACAAGGAAATCTACTGTCTGTTATGGTACTTTATCTTTTCCCTTCCTTTGGAGACCTTTGTTTTTTGATATCCACGCAGCTTGGAACCATTCTGTTGACATCTGCAGTGAGGTCGGTCCTTCAATCTCTATTACACAAAATGGTATATTTGTGTGAGATCAACTGTTTTGTGTTGAATTTCCAACAACTTTGTCCTGAGGACCTACTTATAGAAACTGGATTTAAACTTCTTAGTTAGGACATTTATCAGAGAAATTAGATTTCCACATTCTACGCTGGATTGCAATCCAGGTCCCAGAGGAGAAAGTATGATGTGTTAACACATTTTTCCCCAGAATGGTGCATTGGAACTTGGGGACTTTTTAAAGAGTCAGTTGACTGGACTCATAAATGTTTTGACAGGTTATGTATGATGGCAACATTAATAATAATAATAATCCTTGCATTTGATAAAGCGCTTTTCACGTCGGGAGGACGTCCCAAAGCGCTTCACAGAACACACTGTAAAGTGAATTGACTGTATATTTGTGGGCGAACGCGGCAGCCAATTGCGCACAGCAATGTCCCACAAACAGTCGTAGATTGAAGATGACCAATTTATTATTGTTTTTAGTTTTGGAGGAATTATTATTAAGCTCTGTGTGGAGTAAGGAAACTTGCCCAAGGTTTCACCCTGACCTGCCTGGAATTGAACTCGGGTCTCTCGCTTACAAAGCGAGTGCTCTAACCACTGAGCTACAGGACTCCTATTGATATTGATTTGAACTCTTATAATTCAAAGACCCATGACTGAATCAAGTCATGAACACTATACGTCTTTATGATAGGTGGAGGAATGTCATTTTCATACTGACTGTTGTCTCTTTATTTTTATACTATGCACAATGTTATATAAAAATATTCTTTCTTTCTGTGATGGTTTGAAATTCAACACAAACTGTTGATCTCACATAAATATACCATCTATCTTGAGTTTTTACAGATAAAATAGGTGGTGACTGAGTAATAAAAAAAATGAGCAAATAAGCTTAGTAAAATTATCTGGTACTTGATTTTGTACCTCTGTAAACACTAAAAAAAATCCTGCATCAAATGCAATGTGAGAATAGGGTGCGATTTTCTGATTTAATGTGTGTACAGAGAAGTGACGAGTCTTTTCAAACCTAAGAGGTTGAAATCTCTCATTTTCTATTGTAGCTGCTCTATCTGAAATTGTGTAATTTTGTACACTTGGATTATTTGTTTGCAAATCCTCTGTTTTGATCTGACAATTGGCAGCTGTCGAGGTGCTGTTAAGGCCTCAACACATTTGCACTAGGGAGGTGAGAAAAGTTGCCAGGCAATTGTAAAAAGCTAACGGGTAACTTCCATCATTGTTCGATTTCAACAGTTGTCTGCCTTGTGGTAATACTGCTGAATTTCATTGATTTCCAGTCTGCTTTTGCCTCTGATCTCTTTTCAGCCTGTTGCTTCTGTGGCAGTGTTTTTCCCTTACAAGGGAGCAATTCTACTGGAGAGGAATTGTTTCCTTCAATGGAATAATTCACTGCATTAGGCATATTAGGCATAGAATGATAAAAAGCAAAGTTTTAGGTAGGATCTTACATTTCCTACAGATGCAAAATCAAAGGCTACTTATTTTTTTTATCTGGTTTGTTGTGACCTAATTTGCCCTTAAACTAATAATAATAAACTGATGATATATATATATAGAGCGCCTTTCACGTTGGGGGGACATCCCAAAGTGCTGAACAATCAGGTGTCGGGGTCCGAGCATTGGGGAGAGGTGGTGTAGGGTGAGGGAAGGTGGAGAGGTGGGAGGGAGACCAAAGACACGGTCGAAGAGAAGGGTCTTGAGACCGGCCTTGAAGGAGGCAAGGGACGAAGCGAGGCGAAGGGACCGTGGGATGGACTTCCAGAGTGTGGGGGCAGAGAGGCTGAAAGCCTGGCCACCGATGGTAGGGCGGGTCGGGCGGGAGACATGGAGCAGACCGGAGCCCGATTAACGGAGGGAGCGGGCAGGTTGGTTGGGAGTGAGCAGGTCAGAGAGGTAGGAGGGGGCAAGGCCATGGATGGCCCTAAAGGTGAGGACGAGGATCTTGAACTCGATCCTCTGGGGGAACAAAGAGAGTTCCAGGTGGCCAATAAACAGGCAGTTGTAGCTGGGACCCTTGTGGGTTCCCATATCAACGCCTTTCGCTTGGAGGAAGTGGTTGGAGTTGAAGGTGAAGTTGTTGAATGTCAGAACAAGTTCAGCCAGGTGAAGGGGGTGATGGTGGATGGAGACTGGTTGGGCTGCTGAGGGAGGTGGAAGCGGAGGGCCTTCAGGCCGTCCTTATGGGGGATGGAGGTACAGAGAGACTGAACGTCCATTGTAAATAGGAGACAGTCAGGAAATGGAAATTGTTGAAGTCACGGAGAGCGTCAGAAGAGTCTTGGATGTAGGTTGGTAGGGCATGGACAAGAGGAGAAAAAATAGAATACAGATTTGAGGAGATCAGTTTGGTGGGGCAGGAACAGGCTGAAACGATAGGTCTCCTGGGACAGTCCTGTTTGTGAATCTTGGGGAGGAGGCAGGCTGTGCGTGGCTGGGGGGCTATGAGGTTGGAGGCTGTGGGAGGAAACTCCCCAGAGGAGATGAGGTTATTGACTGTCTTGGTGGATTGCCTGCCGTCTGCAGTGCAGTGAGTGAGACGAGCAGGTTATCACGTAGCATGGAGACTTCGCCTCTCATTGATGCACTGTGATCATGCAGTAATTGTTTGTATGGATTGCTTTTATGCTGCAGGTGTTTTGTCTTAGGAACAGCTCATCATTCTGTCCTATACAAATGTAATTTTGTTATTGGATTTTTTTTGTCTTCTATACTGTGTACAGAGTAAAAATTCAATCAGAAGAACACAGATATTAAGTAATCTTTCGAACTTTGTAATAGTCATGATTAGAAGTTTCTTTTTATTTGTAGTTTAGTTCTTTTCTGTTTCCCCTCCTTACTTAGCATTTATAGTGTATTTCTCAACAAAAGTGAAAGCCTTATATCAAATGGGATTGGATTGCATCATGTGTACTCAATCTAAACCTAGAATTGCATGACTCAAATTAATTCATGGACTGCTTGTTTTGGAATACAAATAACATTTTGCTGATAATTTATGATTTTTCAAATGTCAATTGTTCTTTGTAAACTCTTGTGTTTATACTGATAGGTGAATTCCAGAAATGAATAGTACTTCTGGAGAGTAAGGTGGAGGAGACTTGCAAAGACTATACATCAAAGTCTTTATTATGATAATAGAATATTCTCATCACTGTGGCGTAGTTTAAATGAACAGTCTAATGTGAGGGTGGAACATATTATCATCTATGGATCTAACCGTCCTGTATGTGATCTGGGCTTTATGTTTGATCTGTGCTTGAGATCCTGACACTGATCAGCATCTTGGGACATCCTCCCGACGTGAAAGGCACTATATAAATGTAATTTTGTTGTCGTTGTTGAGTGGCCGTTTAGAAATGTTTCACTCCTCAGCACAAATAGTTGTGAGCACAAACTTCAAGAGAATAACTGTTTTCTTATAGTAGTCTTATTAAAACATTGTTTTGTAGTAAACACAGTAAAATTGATCAGTATCATTACTCCCAGAAGAAAAAGTAGTACATTACTCCGAAAACTGTATTCTTTAACTTACATTATTTGCTTACCACCTCCCCAAGCACCGTTATTGCAATTTTCTAGCGCTATGAAAATTTATAGATTTTGTTTTCCTACTTCTGGTCATCAGATTCCATTTGCACTTTTAAATTTACTGAGACCATAAAAACATAACCTGGGGCACTTATTTTAAATGAAAATTGTTTATTGCGCATTCATGGTGTAGCCTGCATTATTGGTATGTGTGCCTGTAAAAGCATCTAAGCAATTACAACAACTTGCATTTATTTGTGGAGTCCTGTAGTTCAGTGGTTAGAGCGCTCGCCTTGCAAGCGAGACACCTGGGTTCAATTCCAGACAGGGTGAAACCTTGGGCAAGTTAACTTACTCCACACGCCTAATAATAATCCCTCCAAAACAATAATAAATTGATCATTTTCAATCCACGACTGTTTGTGCTCAATTCGCTACCGCATTTCGCCCACAAATATACAGTCAATTCACTTCAGTCTATTCTGTGAAGCGCTTTGAGACGTCTAGAAAACATGAAAAGCGCTATATCAAATGTAAGGATTATTATTATTATATAGTGCTTTTCACATAAGATAACATCTCAAAGAGTTTTAAAGAAAAGGAGCCAAACACTTACTAGGGAGGGTGAGCGAGGGAGATTGCAGACACATTTGAAAGAATATAGATGAAGGAGGCTTTTAAAGTCTGATAAAGAGGGGTAAGACAGAGGGGTCCGTTTTAACATGCAAATAAATTAGTAAATCAGCTTATATTGAGTTTCATTTCACTTTCCAACCGCTTATATAATTCTGGATCAAGTAGATAAGCTCATTCAATATGTTTGTTCTCTGAAATTTTTTGGGGGTATTTGTTTTGGAAATCCCATTTTCCCTCTTTCTGATTTCAGCAAATTTCCTCTGTAGTATTGTTCTGCATAGCTTGTAGCATTTCTGACCAAGTAGAGCCATTTTGGAATCTCTAATAATGTCCCTCTGAATTAATTGGCAACAGATGAACAAAGTAGTCAGGGTGAATTTCTCAATAATTCACAACAAATCTGCAGACATAAGTGACCATGGCTTGCAGAAGGAAGGCTTTATTATTATTATATTATGATTATTATGTTATTTTGTAGTTCTATATACCAGTACACTGATTCTTCTATTACTTGTTTTACCCATAAATATTGGTCTGTTGTTGCAAAGCTTTCAGTGAAGGTTTGGGATGGGTTGGGAAGTTGAATTGAAAATGGTTTCAGCCTGTTATTATTTAAGGTGACTGATGATAAGCTGTAACCTACCCAATATCTTCCCTCACTTATTAATTTATGCTTCCTCACTTATGATTGCTTTCTTGATACTTGAGGTATACTGCTAACAACAGTGCATAGACTATATTGCTATAAAAGAAACATCCCGGGTGAGCAAGTGACTGCTTTTCAGAGCACATGTTGAATCTGTAGGTTTGGGTCATAAAAATCTGGGTTGAGACACAATTTATATACCAGAATTTATAGTAAAGAAAAGGCTACAATAGTTATAAGAGGGATTGAACGAGGCTGTAACATAGTGCTAGGAGCAGCTTTTTTTTAGCAGTCAAAGTAGCATTATTGGTTTTCAATGAATCTGACAATTTTTTTAAACCATCTGTGTGCTAATTGATTGTTTCTAACCTGCGAGAAATATCTTCGATGCTGATGATTGAAAATAAATGTGTTAATCAAAGATACAAATATTGATTGTGTACTGTAAAACCATTACAGTTTTTATGCCGTGGCAAGCAATAACTGTTAGAAACCACCTTCAACATTAAAATTTGCAGGAGTCACTGTACTCCAGTGCATCTCAAGGCCTATTACTTTCACCATAGTCATCTTTTCCATTCCCCATCTCCCTGCGCTTCCACCAACATCTCGGCTTCCCAGCCCAGGACTGTTGAGCATTTTGGGATGTTGTCCCGACATGAAATGTGCTGTAAATTTGTATTGTATTACTGTGGGGTTGTAAGTTTGTATTCATAGAATCATAGAATTATACAGCACAGAAGGAGGCCATTGGGCCCATCATGTCTGTGAAAAGAGCTTCCAAATCAGTGTATATTATTGTATTACTGTGATATTGTGATGCAGTAATGTTGTATTACTGTGTGTGACTGTGAGTTTGTATTGCATTACCATGTGGGGCATCCTTCGAATGAATGGATCCTTTCATCTCACGAATTGCTTCTACTTAAATTTACAAATAGAATGGACAACCCAGTTTCAGTGCTCAGAATTACAAAAAGCTGGATATGAGGATATCGCTGTGTTCTTGTGCAACTTAACATTTGTCATGTATTGTTGGGGTGTTACAAAGTTTACACATGGTGCACCTTACAGCTGTGATTATATGTGAAGCAAATATACACTTTTTTGGGGTACTTACAATACCCAGAAATAGATATTGCTATCAGCACCAGCCCCAAGTAATTGAACTGTACAATGTACGATCATCAGTTTAAGACTTCACATCGGTCACCAATAGTCTGAGCACTTATGTACTTTAGCAGTGGGCTTTGGTGTGATCTATCAATAAATTAAAAGATATCACTACTTCAGCAATAGGGACTGTAAGTTTGTATTGGGTTTCAAAGAGCTAGCATTCCCTTATTCCATGGAACAGTGTGGTTGTGCTTTGCTCCATTTACAACAAATCACAGTATGCCACTGCAGCCTTACTGTACTCTGAATGAAATCCTTTTTGAGTTACAGACACCCTTGAGAATACAAGTCATATATAATTGTGCAGAACTGGTCATTCTAAAATTTAGTTTGAAAATAAACAATATTTTGCTTTTATTTTCAAACTGCCCCTCCTCTCCCCCAGCTTGCTAAGCAGTATAACCTGGTTGTGGTGTCACCAATATTGGAACGAGATGAGGTGCATGGAGAAACCTTATGGAATACTGCAGTGGTGGTTTCTAACTCTGGGCATGTTCTTGGGAAGACCAGGAAGAATCACATTCCCAGAATTGGAGATTTTAATGAGGTAAGATTTGGGAGCTTAACAGTTAAGACTTGTATCTCGGGTATTGATGTCCTAAATGCACAGCTTTATTGCATTGGCATTCATTTCCGAGCAGCCATCGTGGGTTATTGCACTGGAAAGCTATAAGGATGTGTCAGGCTGATAATGAATAATCATGGTAGGGAAGCACATTCTCTGGTGATTAGTCTGTAATCAGCAATGCTTTGGAATATCTCCTGCCTGGCTCAGCTACTGGGCTACTGAGACCATAAGTGGGATCAACTCCATCCTGCTATTCTATTACTAGACACAGCTCAGACTCTTGAGAGCCTGCTTACTTCTCCCCTTCCTCCCTCGAGGTTAGCTGACAGATGGGAGCTAGATATGGTTTTCTAATTTCTCTGCTGATGGTTTTACATAGTGAATTTTGCTTTAGACAAACAGCAGCTGCAAATACGAGGTATGGAATGTTTGCTTGTCATTACTGTTATGTTAGAAATACTATCCACTGTATTTTTGTGATTCAGTGGCAATTGAGATAGTTAATTGCATTGATAGCTTGTCTTTTAGAAATTGTTAAATGTTATCTTGATTTATGGGAAGAAATTAAATATGTGCATCAAAACCTTATGCTATCCATCAGCTTGAAAACTTCCATAGGTGGGTAAATTACATTACTACCCACTTTGATTGATATCTACTTTAAAAGGACTTTGTGCCAAAAGTATAATGGGATCCTTCATAAACTGATTGCTCAAAATATTATTTTCTTTGTCATATCCCATTATACTTTGTTTATATCCCATTAAATCTCATTATAAAGGCATAATAAATGATCGCTATTTTTGCAATTATATTATGGTAAATCCCAACGTGTAGTGAATAGATGACATTTTTTTATCATCTATTGAGTTGTGATTAATTTGTCACAACTCTTAACAATGATCTATATTTATACCTTTGAAAGGTGTTCCTTCCAAATTACTGTCATGTATTTACATATTTTCTTTCTCCACCTTCTTCCTAAAAGAGCTGTCTCATGCAGCAAACTGTTTGGGGGCATTACAGCCAAGGCCAATCCATGCCTCACCCAGCATCCACATTTATAGCAGAAGTCCCTGATAGCAATTAGGAGTAGGAATGCTGTCTGATTTGATTTAGTTTTTTTCTTCCCTCTCTCTAGCCCAGCTAACAGACTAATTTTAACATAACTGATGCCAACCTCGGATTAGCACAGACCAAGGATTGAACCAGGGATCTTCCTTATCCTCTTGGCTCAGTAACACTGAGTCATTAGGAAGCTCATGAATTTGCAAGTGTCTCTGACATTTGTACTTTCTTCTGTTTAACCAAGCACATTTCTTCCTAGATCTGTTATATTTCCTTTTCCAGATTAAGTGAGATAGGTTTCCTTTACAACAACAACTTGCATTTATATAGCGCCCTTCACATAAGGTAGTGTCCCAGAGCGCTTGATAAAGTGGGATACATTTCCTTTATATAACAGCTTTGACTGAGTTCAAATATACTGATATCTCTAGGGGTTATTTTAAATATTAGGATTTGAATCCTGTTTAGAAACAAGTGTGGCAATATGACACATGCATGTCTTGAGTAGGTTCCTCTCTAAAGGAAACCCTGATTTGATAACTATGCAGCGCTCATGCCCAATTACTTTATTATTTGTAGAAGCGTTGTAGCATTATTAATAATAATCATCCTTACATTTGATTTATCGGGGAGTTTAAATATTGTTTTCACAGTCTACCTATTACATGGAGGGGAAAACAGGACACAGAGTGTTTCAAACACAGTTTGGACGGATTGCTGTTAATATCTGCTATGGTCGCCACCACCCATTGAATTGGTTGATGTTCAGCATTAATGGAGCTGAAATTATCTTTAATCCCTCGGCTACTGTGGGAGATCTGAGGTAAGATGACAATATAGCTATTAAATTTGATTTTAAATATTGTTTATTTTGTCAAAGTTGAGCCAGAACATGGAATTGTGTTAGTCACGAGATAATGAATATAATCGAGTCACATCTCTCTTACTGAAGGATTCATTCTACTCCCATTATGAGGTAGAACAGAGGATTATGTTGTCTTTCTTCCTGTAAATCCATTCACCATTGAATCAGAGCTTTAAACAGTATCTAAAAGGACAGTCTGATGTGTTAACCAGGGTTCTAATTCTCCCAATAGTGGTAAATGTTTCTTTTTAACCACAATCAGAAAACACTTGAGTGGATGTTTGAGAATGGATTTTTCATATTTGTCCTTCATTTCAAATCATGACTCAGTGTGGCAGTTGGTGTATAATCCTACAATCATAGAATTTTGCACAGCACATTGTGCCTGTGCCGGCTCTTTATAACACAGACAAACCCAATTAACCAGCCAAGGTCCTGCATTGGAAATCTATACATTGTACAGATAGAAACCTTATTTTTCAGATGACACCTTCAGAATTCAATACAAGTTAACACATTTATTGAATGCCAAAGCTATGTCGCTCATAAACTTCATTTTTCAGGTGGAGTTTTTTTGTTAACAAATCTGTTCCCTTAGGATTTAGCCATTACCTAGAGGTTTGTGGCTAAAGACCATGCAGTATAAATGCTGTTTATATTGTATCTAATATTTTTGATTTATTCCATACCTATGGGTGCTCAATAAAGTACAACCCATAATGTGTATCATAAGACTTTCATTCCACTCCCCATTTCCTATTGAAAACCGAGTCCGTGGACTCAGGCTTTTGTGCAATACTACAGCTCCCTAAAGGGTTAACCAGCAGCAGCAAAGTGAAAAATAAATCTGCATCTAATCCCTTTGCTAGGTATCATGTTTTTTCCTTGAAATGTACTTTTCTTATTCAAGTATTGCTGTGATAATTAGTTTCACAGTTCTCTCTGTTTCTGTGGAGATGACATTTAGCAGCTGAAAACCTTTCACATCTGATTATGATATTTCTTGTAGATTTAGCTATCTGCTTTCCAGTGGATATAATGCTGGCCATTTTACAAGCTTCTTTCTCTGGATAAAAGGATATTAGTTTTCACTTTTAGCAATTAAAATAGATACAATAAAATATACATATGTTTGGGGAACTATAGAAGGAGACTTTAATCTCAGCCAGCTTGTAATGTTATTTCAGTTAAATTCTGTGCCTGACCCATAGGTTTCTTTCAGCTAATCTGCTGTTTGTTTCCAGTGAGCCCATGTGGCCTATTGAAGCAAGAAATGCAGCCATTGCCAATCATTGTTTTACCTGTGCCATCAACAGGGTAGGAATGGTGAGTTGCACCTCCTAACTCCATGCACTGACATTAGTGTGGCACTGATATACACCTTGAAAAGTAGAACATTTTTCTTCTCTTATACATACAGAATCCTGTAGTCCTGTAGCTCAGTGGTTAGAGCACTCGCCTCACAAGTAAGAGACCTGGGTTCTGTTCCTGGCAGGGCAAAATATTGGGCAAGTTTTCTTACTCCACATGCCTCTGTTTACCTAGCAGCAAATAGGACCCCGGTTGTTAGTCGATTGGGGAATCTGGGGATAATAATTCCTCAAAAAAAATAGTAATTTGGTCCTCAATCCACGACTGTTTGTGGGACGCTGCTGTGCACAATTGGCTGCCGCGTTTCGCCCACAAATATACAGTCAATTCACTTTACAGTATATTCTGTGAAACACTTTGAGAGGTCTAATAGACATGAAAAGCACTGTAACAAATGCAAGGATTATTATTATGTAGTACTTGTCAAACCCCAAAGGTATTCAAGTAAAGGATCCGTATTATTCATCCATCAATGCAGTATCAATAGGTTTTGTTGGGAGTCTAGTGTACCTATATGCAGTGCTCTTGTGGGGAAACATTCATTCTAATCTAGTTTGTTAAGGCTTTCCTTGTAAACCTCCAGTCTTTTCGTTCTGTTCTCGTGGCCAAAATCAAATAATCTTAGTAGAAACTGGTTAAAAATAGAAGCGATATCCTAAGTCTTTAAAATAATGAGAATGACATCCATCAGTTTCTTATCCAGTCCCATCTTGTATCTAGGATTCCCAACAATTCACATGTAAATACCTAATACCAGAAAAGGCAACGATTTCACACACTTACCTGACTGTTTGCAGTCTATCATTGTGCTGCTCAGTGATGACTTTACTGCTGAAGGAATATTAAAAAATAGATGCTTCCATTTTGTAATTTTGAATTGCAATTGACTGCCACCAATTCATGAGGCTGAACTTAAAACTTATATCAAATGCTGCAGTACTGCCTTGTCATGAAGGTTTGTCTTTCAGCGTTCAAGAGAGGTGCGTAGTTACTCGTATATTTTCGTGTATTTTGTGCTCATCACGGTAATGAAAGTATGTGCTGGGCATGAAAATTCCTTGTAGTCTTGCACTACTAATATATGTGGAAGCTCCATCTGCATAAACAATGTACCTCAATCCTACCCCCAGAGAATCCCCGACTGCAGAGATGTAATATCTTAATATCCCACATCAGCCTTCCTTGTGCTCTCGGAGCCTGGCTATTTTACACCCAGAACCTGGTTGTAACAACTGTAATTAATTTTGCATGGGTTACTTATAAAATAAAGGAGAGTTTATCCCAACATCATAGATTCAGGTCAGGACTGGAGAGTGTGCAGACCCCAGGGCACGGTGACCTGTTCATAGAAACATAGGAATTAGGAACAGGAGTGGGCCATTCGGCCCCTCGAGGCTGCCCCGCCATTCAATAAAATCATGGCTGATCTTCTAACCTAATTCCATTTACCCACCCTATCCCCATATGCCTTAATCCCTCTATCCTTCAGAAATCTATCAACCTCAGTCTTAAATATGTTCAAGGACTGACTGAGCATCCACTGCCTTCTGGGGTAGAAAATTCCACAAATTCACTACCCTCTGAGTAAAGAAATGTTTCCTCAACTCAGTTTGAAAAGGCTGACCCTTAATCTTAAGACTGTGACCCCTATTATAGATTTTCCAACCAGGGGAAAGAGTCTCACATTGTCTACTCTGTCAAGCCCCATAAGAATCTTATATTTCTATAAGATCACCCTTAATTCTTCTATATTCTAGAGAATATAGGCCTAGTTTACTCAACCTATCCTCGTAGGTCAACCCCTCATCCCAGGAACCAACCTAGTGAATCTACGCTGCACCCCCTTTAAGGCGAGTATGTCCTTTCTTAAATAAGGAGAGCAAAACTGCACACAATATTCTAGGTGCAGTTTCACCAAGGCCCTATACAACTGCAGCAAGACTTTTGCAATAAACGCCAACATGGCATTAGCCTTAGTTGCTTGCTGTACCTGCAAACTAACTTTTTGTGACCGGTGTACAAGGACACCCAAATCCCTCTGAGCACTAACACTGTCTAATCTCTCCCCCTCTAGAAAATAATCTGCTTTTCTGTTTTTAATAGTAATATAATAATAATCCTTGCATTTGACCTAGTGCTTTTCATGTCTTCTCAACGTCTCAAAGCGCTTCACAGAATAGACTGTAAAGTGAATTGACTGTATATTTGTGGGCGAACGCAGCAGCCAATTGCGCACAGCAATGTCCCACAAACAGTCGTGGATTGAAATGATCAATTTATTATTGTTTTGGGTTTTGGAGGGATTATTATTAGGCTCTGTGTGGAGTAAGGAAACTTGCCCAAGGTTTCGCCCTCTGCCTGGAATTGAACTCAGGTCTCTCACTTGCAAAGCGAGTGCTCTAACCACTGAGCTACAGGACTCCACCTAGGTGAAAGCTTCACACTCCCCCACATTATTTTCCATCTGCCACCTTCTTCCCCACTCACCTAGCCTATCCATATCCCTTTGTAATCTTTTTGTGTCATCCTCAGTGCTTACTCGCCCACCTAGCTTAGTATCATCTGAGTTTAGATATTTTAAGTTTTGTTCCTTTTCTGAATCTGTACACAAGTACAACACTTCTTATTGATTCTGATCTGTTACCTGTGTGCCTGCTGTTGCTCTGAACTTTGGATTACATTGATTTTCTTTTTCTTTGTTAATTTTTTTCATAATACAGGAACATTTCCAGAATGAATTTACTTCAGGTGATGGTAAGAAAGGTGGGTGCCTGATTTTTTCGTGGAGCCTGAATCATGAGGCTGACCTATGTGTTATTATTTAGTAATTCAAAGGTAATCTTACCAACAAATAGTGTGATTGTTATTAGGAACAGAGCTGGGAAATGAGATTAAAGTAGATAGCTCAAGCATGATGGTTGAATAGCCTGTTGCTGAGATTTCTGTGAAATGCCTTTGTATCAATGTATTAGTGCTATTTCTTTGTGTTAAAGCTCACCGTGATTTTGGCTATTTCTACGGCTCAAGTTACATTGCTGCTCCTGATGGTAGCCGCACCCCAAGCCTGTCCCGTACCCGAGATGGCCTGCTTATTGCTGAAATGGACCTAATCTGTGCAGACAAATCAGTGATAAATGGGCCTTTAAGGTAAGCCAAAATAAATATAAATGTCCAAGTACATTAATCTTTTCATCTCCATCATTACTTTGTTAGAGAGCTCTGCTCAGCCATATCCTATCATTTTGCCCAGGATTTCCTTGTAACCATCCTCGTCTGAAGTTTAAGACCTTTATTAGTTTGGATACTGTCATAAAACTTTTTTTAAAAACTGAATTTTTGATTAGCATTGTGTCTTGTTTTAAGTAAAGTAACACTTAGGTAGATTGCCAGTGAGCTCTGGGAAGACAATGATTGTATCAGAAGTTTTAATTGAGGGAAGCCTGCCCACTTCTCTCACCACGTGTCTGCATTCCTTTGTTAAAACTGTCATATGCTGAGGATTGCAATTCTTCCACAAAACTGCCCTGTTTCTTAAAAAAGACATTCTGCCTGGTTTTACAACTGGTCAGGTTTTCCCCATTCAGCATTCACAGAGGTTTGGGATATGTCAGCCTTCAGGAGAGAAGGGAGGAGAGAAAGCTGGGAGGGGTGGGAAATGGAACAATGACAAAATGGAGGTCAGTACAATAACAGTAATTTGTGGTGTAAGAACAGTGATTCAAGAGAACATGCCTGTAACTAACATTCATTAACCCAATTAATATGGAGTCCATGAAAGTGAGCTGATAATTCATGCCCCTGCCCATTGTCTTTTTTTCTGGCTTCCCAGATGACAGGCAGATATGAGATGTATGCTGAAGAACTGGCCAAGATGGTGCAGCCTGACTTTGAGCCCAACATTATCAAAGAGTAAAGGCATTAATTCCACACAAGGTTCTGCACTAACACTGGGAATACAATATTTAACTTTTTAATCAGCTCAAGCACTTTCACTAATTTGAGGTTGGAATGTTTTGATATGCTAATGAGTTTGCAATGATTTCTCTGTGTTTTTTGTCTGAATTGTCTGATGCTCTGGACTATTCGGATTGTCCATCCTTGTTTAACCAGGAAACAATTCAGTGCATCAGAAGTTAAAACAGTCAGTGTTGCCCTCACAGGATCCTATATCTCAGCATTCTGAGCAATGACTTTTGGCTGCTTTCCAGTCTACTTCAGTGTCAGCTAAGTATTTAACTTATTTTACCTGCCCATCAACACACTCAGGTTCCCACTGTTGCTTAGAATATTTGTCTGTTTAATTTTCCTGAAATTTGATATTGTTGCCAGTATGTTGGACACTTGATACTTTATCCAAATTATACTATAAATCAGGGATGTTATCAGATTGCCTTGATGCCACTGTGCTTTGGACACTTTCTCTCTCTGGGACTTTGATCATTTCACTGAATGGAAACATACTGTTAGATAAAGTCCACTCATTGTGTTCTGAGCTGGCATCATCTTGTCTTCACTTTCCGCCCCCTCCCCCCAACTCTGCTCACAAATCTTTACTCAGCCATGATTTCCTCTATCCACAATTCTAGATGTTTCTTGTGGCACAATTCGGCAATGTGCCTGGGACGTCCTCCTGACATGAAGAGCTTTACAAATGTGATGTGTTGTTGTCACGCCACTTCAATTTCCAGTGGTTGCCGGAGCAACATCCAAAATCTCTCATGAACACCAAAGAACATATTGATCTCTTATTATTAGCAAAAGCAATTGGAGAACTATCTTTCCTTTGAGCCCAGCGATGTCAGTAGCAGCTAGGAGAACATCTTGATGATGATTCAGCATGTTCACTATTGAACCATAAATGGAATGAGGCCTGTGGAACTCCTGTAATCTCTATTTAACACTAATCACTACACAAACCTGCCCACCTCCAAGCTTGGTCTCAGCCGCTGACGATGAATGAGCGTGGTCCTGTAACCCAATGCTTCCATAATATATACAGAATTGTGTAATTGTCAATGTATTGCAACATCTGTTACTATTACAAGTGCTGTGATCCGAGCAAGCATGTCATTTTCTTAATTCAATAAAAAAAATCTAAGGGGAAAAGTTCTGTATAAATACTCTACCTCCTAAAGGTGATGGAGTAAAACTCCAGAATATTTATCTATTTCAACCTTCCTACCGTTCAGATAAAATTTCCCTTGCCCTAGAAGCAAAAAATAATCATGACCTACTGAGTATTCCCATCTTCCCATCTTCAGCATTCTGCTTATCCCCCTCCCGTTTTAAACCTAACTAATCAATAGAATCAACTGTTTTTGTCGCACTGGTCTGCCATCGCTCATAAGTGAAGAAAGAACATTTATAATCTTCAATATTGCTTATAGGCTTGTTAATTTTAAGCCTTTGACCTTTATTGAGTGTTCTGTTTACATCTACATCATCTAAGCTTCACAGCATAGAAGATTGTTTATATCTCTCAATGTACATGAATCAAAATATTGATGTAGGGATTCCACCGAGTTCCTCTTACCTACTATGCAACTGATTTTTTTCCACATTTGTAGATTCTAGTAGTGACGTCCTTCCTATAAAATTTGATTTGATAGTGCTCCCCCCGGCTGATGTGTAATGGTATTAACTGGAACAGCACTCGGCACACAGACCAGGTTACAAATTTGTATCTCATTCTGTATTGATTTAGGTAATTGCAGGGGGCAATAACTGAAGGACCTGCAATAAACAACTTGCATTTATATAGAACCTTCATACAGGACAGCATCTCAGAGATGCACAGTGGTCAGGCTGGACATGAACAAAGTTTGTTGATAACCAATTTCCCTTTCTTCACTAATAGTTGCTTTTATCTTCAAGCAACACAATGCAAGTTCAGCACCGCAGATATAAGAGGTACAGCACATGCAGAGCACATGCTGATTAAAATATCCCAAATGACATGAGCACCTCAGATCTTTACATCTCCAATCTGCATCAGGAAATAAATGGTCATGGTGGTAGTCAGAGTTTCTGTAAAAGAAACAATTCCCATGCTATTTATTTTGTATTGCTTCTTGATCTTCAAAGCACCAGTATTGGATCACTGTAGTGTTGGATTCAGTGTCTTTACACTGTTGACTATCAGCAGAACAATTTCACAGGCAAAAGAGGATTTGTTTTACTAATTGGGTAAATGATGGGATATACCGATGTAATGCCAGGGAGATTAGGTCAATAACAGGTGCAAACATTAAGTTAAGACATTAATGCTTGGGTGAATTGGAGCATTGAGTTTGCCCAGGGCTCATGGGCACCTGAAGACTGAATTTCAAATCTGTTCTGACCTCCTCTTGCTTGTACAACTGAGTTGGAGATACAATGGAAGTGCCTCCAGCGCAGTGATAGAAAACACCTGGAACACACAAGTTTATACTGCACCTTTCACAGCAGGAGGATATCTCCAAGTGTTACACAAAACTGACGGGAAGCCTGGGCTGGGGAGATGACCAAAAGCATGGTCAAAGATACAGGATTTACGGTGGATTTTGAGGGCAGAGGGACTTGTGGCCTGAGCCAAGGTTGGGGTGTCACAGAACGGAAGATAAAATCTGTCCTGCCTATCCAACATCTGACGGGCAGTCAGCACAGAAACTTGTTTCAAACGGCTAGTTCAGTCTGTGTCTGAGTTTAATTGGCCCACACACCTTAATTGGTACACTGAAAGGAAAAGCTGCCCAGATGAGTCACACCGATATTATAAGGGCCATAGCAATCTCTTTCTAGCAGCAGATGCCATAATTCCTGCAGTTCAATCAGACACATCAGAGCTGTGAAAAACATTCAATGTCAGGCAATCTGTGCAGTTCAAACATGGCCTCAGCACTATGTGAAGCCAAAAATGAGGGGTGGGATTATACAATACACCAGTCTGCCCCTGGTGGCTCAAACTCAACCATACAAAGCACCAGCTACAGTTAGGATCTTGTTCACGTGGTTATTCATACGAGACCATGGTCAGTGAATTAATAATAGGAAATGCTGCGATTTATTAACTCAAATTTATTGAAAAATTGAATGTGAAGGATTGAATATGGGTCCTTATGGGCCTGCATGGAAATCTTTAGTTTGGCCACTCAACTATTCAAAGAGCTGGGTGGAAAATTTTGATATAAGTAATGTTTCCCCAAATACTTTTCTCCTAACTATACATTAATTTCCTTTATAATCTATATAGGCACAAGACTGTCTGAACTCTCAATGAGAAGACAGCTGCATTACCACTGCACCTCCAACACTGCCAAGCTGCAATGCAGAAGCATTAATATCAGATGAGAAAATCTGTTGAACAGCTGAGGGTGAGAAAGGCCAGGGAGGTGGGGGCTCAAACAAACAGAACAAATAGCAACAATTTCACACTCAATTTTTCTTCATGAGTCAAATCAATTTAGAAGGCTCCAGCCTTAAAAATAAAAATTTTGCTATAAATATCAAATCCCAGGTAAGTTGCTTGTGGTTGGTATGTGCAGTATCCACTCTGTTTAGCACCTTGTAACCTGAGCCACCCAGACACCAAATCACTACAGGATCTTACTCCCAGCGGATACCATTCTGCTCCCCTCTGTAACTAACATGTTAATGGAGGGAATCAGGTGGTACCAGCTGTCAGAACTTTACAGGTGAACGTTTCCAACTGTGGCTTTTATCATCAGTTTTCATTAACATCACAACATTGCGTCCCTATAACTATCCAATCCTCACTAAAGCCTGCCTCACTACATGAATTATAATTCATTTTCTAGTAACAAAAAAAAGGGTTGAGGCATCCAGAGTTCAGCAAGTCACATTTATTAAAGCACTTATATAAAAATCAGACATTCCAATGTTGAAAAGAACAATTCAATCCTATTTATAAAATATTCACAGGAAAAGCTTCGTAAAACACAATTATCAAAATGAAACATGGTTTGTTCGCAGAACACATGATGTGGTCGCATGGGGTTATATTCTCAAAACTGATGCTCACTACCAACAGAACTGTGCATGCAAAATATTCAGCAAAGTTTTCATCTAGGCTGCTGGAGGAACTGACAAAGCAGAACCTATTTTTCTTTCTCTTCTCCTATAGCAGCCAACTGCAATTGTGAACAAGATAGGAAAATTCGTCTGAGCTTTGTATTCCATCTCAATATCATCTGACCAGTTGAGTGCCTTAAGAGTAAAAAACAAAACGATCCAACACCTAGATGGGCTAAATCCTTCCCAATCCAACCAAACAAGACTGTCCTAGAACTCAACATGTCACCTTCTGCTTGTGAGGCAGCTGGGTGAACATTTTTCATTTAAATTTTGCCTGCAACTTTTCCTGCTGTGTCTGTGATCCTATGCCACACCCTGAAGTACTGTGACAATTCAAAACCACCTGAATGAACTCTGATGGGCTATAAGCAAAGAACAATATATTGCTGTTACTGAACTGAAAAAGTACCATTTACTCACTGAGCCCTCAGGTTTATTACCCCACCCCAAACAAGGTACCATGCTGTAGCCGTACCTAAGAAAGTCAAACAGAGAATTGCACAAATTATGTTTTCCTTATTTTCCTGCCGCTTGCAAGCTGTTTAACTCATGTAAATAAAACATTGGCTGTGGAAAGCCTGATCATGGGGGATGGGGAGGAATAAAAATCAAAGCTAGGCTGCAATTATGTTTGTCTATAACATGATTTCCTAAAAAAATGTGTCCCTGAATACATCAAAAAGCTACTGGTGAAACGTGCACTAGCATGTGCATGTGGCACTAGCTATACTATTCAAGTGAAAACCCAATTTGCTGGTACCCCCCACCACCTCCCCGGTTGGCATGAGAAGCTGTTCAGTAGTGGCTCTTCAGTCCTGAACCAGTCACGAGGTCGAGTACAAATAGTCCCGTCACTGAGCAGAGGCAAGCCTCGCAGCAGCACTGTGTGTTCCACTGCTAGCGCATCCTTAGTGCATCCAATAAACTGACGGAGAAGAAACCTGGAGCTGTATTGTGTGTTGAAGCGAGTCACCACGGTCAACTGTCCTTGTAAACAAACAGGATGTCCTCGTCTGTGCCGTAGCTCATGCGAGCCTCGTCAAAGTTACTGAGGCTGGTGCTGCAGACTCCTGTCAGCAGAAACAACGGTCGAATCACTACACACACACTGACATCTAACAGCTTTTAGTTTCTTTTTCAGAATTATTTTCTACCTCTACGCTTGTTGTTTTTCCCTTGCCAAGAGGGTAGGGAATACACTACTGGGAGGTGGGGGGAAAGGAGTAGCAGCTTGTAAGAAGTCACTCGGGGGGTGCTCAAAGAGACAAGTAAACTCTCCCCAGTGAGCAGCATCCCTGTCCCCAAGCACATCAAATATCAGGAACTCACAGCAGGCTACCCAGCCATTCCAGAGGTTAGTGCTGTACTGCCCAATGGTGAATTGCATCTTGACAATTTGCTTCACAAAGTGAGCGATGTCAATACTGGGGAATATGGTGATATGAAGGATTGGGAGGTGCTCAGAGATACGGGAGCGGACCCCAACGGGCCAATAGCTCACTAACAATCACTGTGAAACCTCAAACAATAATCCCTGCATTTGATACAGTACCTTACACATCAGAAGAATAACTCAAAGCATTTTATAGAATTTACTGTAAGGTGCAGTGACTTTTAGGGCGAACATATACATGAAGACTGGCCACTCGTGAGGGAGTGAAGCCTAGAGTTTATGGAACGTGATTCAAAGCTTTCAAAAGAGATAAAATTGGGCATTCACTAACTTGGGTTCCAGTGACTGACATGACCATGGTGCCACTTACTGTCAGCGTATGCAGGGTTATTGTAAAAGATGCAGCCGGATTTCCCATTGTAGCCACAGACAACGATAAAATGTCCCTGATAGTCTGGGTTTTTGCAAAAACATTTCTGTCCAATTGGGAGAAGACAGCAGAATTTGACGGGTGTGGAGCAGAGGTCACAGACCAGGAGTACGGCGTTCACCAGCACGATGACCACGTGACCCTGAGCCAGGTGCTCCTGGATTTCCTGTACCCTGACAGACCTGTAGAGGAAAAACACCAATATATCACGTCAGGGTTCATCGAAGCAGGAAGGTCTGACACGAGGCAGGAGCAAAAATGTAGATCAGCCAGATCTCCCGATGCAGACTTTGTGATTGAAAAGCTCTGATGGCAGCAATAACGTCCACACACAGCATTGTCCACACGAGTGTCACAGATCACTTATCACATCAGATTTGATTTACTTCCCCTTCATCTCCTGAAGCATTGCTCCTCATGCAGTTTACCCCCACCATGTGACGCTAACTGTGGGTCTCAACTCTCGACTGTGGGAGACCACATCACACCCAAGCCCATCATGGGTAAATGTCAGTCCCGGGGTTTATGTGATCATTGCAAGAACAATGCTGCCGCTGGATACCTTGCATTCAGAAATAATCTGTGATTCAAATGGGAGCACCCTGTCTGGGGAACTGCTCCATCTGTACCTCTTTTCTACCCGGACGTCATTTAGCCCCGATTGAGCAAACAGCTGGTTTACCCGTTCCTCTTCTGTGTCAAAGTGTTTACGATAAAACGACTGAGGAAAGACGAAACAAAGGAAACCAGTCAGTCATAAGCAGATCACTTTGTTGACTATTATTCTTTAATTTAATAACAGCAGCTTGCATTTATATAGCACCCTTCCTGAGCCCTTATAACCATAGAGAGGATATATGACAAAGATCCAAGGAGTTCATTTATACCCCAGCCAAGGGCTGATTACAACTGGAGTCAACTTGGGGATCAATATTCACATCTTCTATCATATGCTTTATAATTGACTGCAATTTATATCTGGTGCAATTCTACTACACAAATTAATGGGTTTCTGTGGTTCATTAGCAGTGGAGCCAGAGGCTGATCAGATTGTTATTGCGCGACATTAAAATAAAGAATTGTTTTTAAATGAATATAAAGCATTATGCTTAGTGCTGGCAATGAATCAGGATTGAGCATCTCACCTGGTATCGGTAGCCCTTGTCCACCCCCAATGTCTGAGTGCAGAAGCGGTGTGTGACCCCAAACTGGTGCATCAGATAAGCCAAATCTATTGTCCAGACACTTTCACTGAGCTTCAGCCTCCAACACACAGTTTGAAACTCTTCTTCACTCACTGGATGGAGGTATCTCGCAATGAGAGGAGAAAGAAAGGTTTAAAGCAGAGGATGTCCACAAGTCTCATTTATTGGAAACAATTTACATAACTTCCCAAGTTAACTCAGTGAAGACCGTGGAGCAAACTCTGGGACCTCTGTTGTGCGAGTTTCATACCTAACTGTGACTTTACAATGAATCTGAGGACAATAATCACTGTTCTCTCGCCACACAGATACATTTTACCATAAACAGGATTTTGAAGCGGGTTTTGTTTAGTTAGACTGTGCGTTGGGGTTTTATGTTTGGTTTGAATACCCACTGCTTCCCGGTGTTTGCTGTCTGTGTGATACTCACTGCAGCACCATCCTGGAGCAGGCGAGCCCGCAGTCCCAGTGATAGGATTGCTGGATCACAGGAACACTCAGCTGCACCACCTCATCTAAAGGCAGAGACAACACACTTAGCAAATGTGTTCCGGGGAGACGCGGCCACTCCCACAAACACGTTTATATAGACCTTCAGGAGGTCACGTCTCACCCCTCTGGGTACATGGCGCTGAGCGCGGGATAGGAGTCACCAGGACACCGCTCCCCCGGGGCCGGAACCGGGGCCGGACTCACCCGTCACAATAGTCGCCTCTTTCGGTTTCATGTCGGCGGCTCCCGGTCACTCGGCCGCTGACGCCCCACCAAACCGAGCCCGGCCGCTCGCCACCATTGCCGTGCGCGGTGTGTGCCGGGATACAGGAGGACCACACTCGGCGCGGTGTGTGCCGGGATACAGGAGGACCACACACGGCGCGGTGTGTGCTGGGATACAGGAGGACCACACGGCGCGGTGTCTGCCGGGATACAGGAGGACCACACTCGGCGCGGTGTGTGCCGGGATACAGGAGGACCGCGGGGAGACGCTGCTCGGAGCCCGCGCCGCCGCCATGTCTATCGGAGTCCCCATCAAAGTGCTGCACGAGGCCGAGGGTCACATCGTCACCTGCGAGACCAACACGGGGGAGGTTTACCGCGGGAAACTGATTGAGGCCGAGGACAACATGAACTGCCAGGTCAGGCCCAGCCCGGGGACAGGCCCAGCCCGGGGCCTGGATTAGCCGCCCCGCCGCTCATTCAGGCCTCAGCCGCGGCGCGCGATGTCAAACACAAACTGATTGTTCAGTCGAGGCTGTGAGGGCGGCTCATAACATAACATGTAGGAGCAGGAGGAGGCCATTCGGCCCTTCGAGCCTCTGCCCCGCCATTCAATCATGTGATCCTCTAATCTAACTCCGGCTAATAACCTGACACTGCCTTATCCCCATATCCCTCCCACACCCCCCCACCAGCCTCCCCCATTCACTGCCCTTTGACTGAAGAAGTTTTTCCCACTCAGTGCGAAAGGGTTGCCTCTGCCCCAGTTTAGTTTCTCCAACCGGGACAATCTCCCACTATCTACTCTATGCCCTTTGATGATCTTATAGGTTTCTATAAGATCCCCTCTAATTCTTCTATATTTTAGAGAATATCGGCCCAAATTGGTCAGCCTATCCTCGTAACCCTTCATCCCTGGTACTAACCGAGTAAATCTACGCTGCACCCCCTCCAGGGCAAGTACATCCTTCCTTAAATGAGGAGACCAAAACTGGACGCAGTATTCCAGGTGTGATCTCACCACGGATGAATTGCTTTCCCTGTGGTACTCTTATTCCGCAAGGGAATATGCGACCGCTGAGAATTTTGCACGACATCCTTAAATATTTGCCACTGTCGGTCTACATTTTTACCTCTTAATCTGATTCTCCAAACTATTTTACCTAAATCTTTCCTCAGACCTACAAAATTAGCCCTATTTAAATTCAGAATACTTGCCTCGGATTTAACTATCTCCCTCTCTAACTTAATGCAGAATTCAATCATATTGTGATCACTCTGCCCTGGAGGATTCTTAATACCTACACTACCAACTTGCCCTGTTTCGTTACACAAAACAAGGTCTAGGATGGCCTCCCCCAGTTGGTTCCTCGGCTGCTCTAGAAAGTTATCTCTCATACACTCAATGAACTCTTCTTCTGACCTACTTTTGCCGATTGGTTTTCCCAATCTATATGGAGATTGAAATCACCCACTATTATCCTTTACCTTTCCTACATGCTCCACTGATTTCTTGATGAGCCATTTCTTGGCTCGACTGCACATTGATGGGAAAGTTATACTGATCCTCGCTGGGCTGCTCCTGTTACAGTCATTTCTGGCTCTGGGGAAGGTGTTATTCCTGTTCAGAGCCTCACACGGTTCAGCTGGAGATCAACCAGCAGCACCAGAACCAACAAGTCCAGCAACCTGGAGGTTCATTCAGGATGTGGTGCAGCTGCAAACTGAGCATCACAATGTACATTCAGAGGGGAACTTTCTCTGCTGTTCTGACCTAAGTTACATGTGAGTCAATGTTCTGACTGGTTGTCTGTTCTCTCTCTGCAGATGTCCAACATCACAGTGACGTATCGAGATGGTCGAGTAGCACAGCTGGAGCAGGTGTACATCCGAGGCAGTAAAATACGCTTCTTGATTTTGCCGGACATGCTGAAAAATGCCCCGATGTTAAAGAGTATGAAAAACAAGAACCAGGGAACGGGGGCGGGCAGAGGGAAAGCTGCCATTCTCAAAGCTCAGGGTAAGTGTCGGGAAGATTTCGCTTATCACTCACATTTTAAATGACTTGTTTCCAGCTTTCTCTATATGGTGTCAGCAAATAACTGTATTTTACTTATGTTATATTGCTGTAGGACAACAATGATGTAGCAAAGTCAGGGCCAGAATGTTACAGGCCAGCACTGACCTCAGCTATAGCAACAATTGGGGCTACACTTGTCAGATGAGAAAGGGGATGAAGTTAACCAGGGTTCGTGTTTCCGAAGCTTACTGCTGTGTGAGAAGCTGCACTGCCCTCACATCATAAACTGTTGACTGTCCCCGACTCATTCTACCATTGAGGACTAGCAATTAGACACAGTGTCAGAGTGCTGCTGGTGTGTGTGGAACTGGACATGAGTCAACACTTAGAGAAGGTAGAGTTTATTGGGGTGAGAGAGAAACTTGGCTGAAGAACAACGGTGTGGGTACCACAAGAGATGCTGTAATAAATTGATGGGATTTTGCTCTGAACATAAGAGAAAGTTGGAGGTGAAAATGTAATATTAGTATCATTGTACAACAGTTCCCACCTGGCTTCATTTATAAAATCTTCCTGATCTCCCCCTCCTCACCCCAAACCTAGTCATTAGTGTCCTTTTAATCAGGTGACTTTTACAGACTTCCCGATGTGAAAGGCGCTACACAAATGTAATTTGGTATTGTACAGGCTGAGTTTGAAATTAGAATTTAGAGAGTGTCTAATCTCTTGAGGAGGTGCCTGTTGCTCTGTGTCTGTGCAGGATGAGTTGTGGCTGATTTCATAAGTAGAAGTCATGGTTGCTGCTGTGAGTAGGATTCTTGGTCTCTGCCACAGAGTTGTGGCCAGTAAGTCGAGAACATTGCAAGTGAATCTGTTGTCTTTCTCTTTCAGTGGCTGCCCGAGGGAGGGGTCGAGGAATGGGCCGAGGTAATATTTTCCAAAAGAGGAGGTGAATAATTTGCGGGAGGATTTGCAGGATTGCTGATTTGTATTTCTGTTTTGTAATTCAGTTGAATTTTACTGATGCTGATAGACGACTTATGTTTGTAGACTTACTTATGTTGTCAATAAACGTTTTTTTCCACAAAAGTTTGTTACCTGATCTGGTAGAAAGTTGGGTTTGTTTCAGCCATTGTTGCTCATGTTCCTGATGTTAACAATTGCACACACTCCTTTCTAAAAGCCTCTGAAGAGGACATGGCTCACTAATGACTGGGCTTGATGTGAGACTATAAGTTGCTGAGGTGTGCATTGCAGATATCTAGCACCAAATCTCAATATACTAACCACAGAGAAGAAAATGGAATACTGGTTTAGTGTGCTAACATGTACATTCAGAGAGTTTACCCCACTGCCTTGGCCAACAATCCTATAAATAAAATTGGTCATTCACTTCATGGCTGTTTGCAAGATGTTGCCGCACACAAATTGGCTGCCACATTTATGTACAAAATACAGCCATTACACTATCGTGTGAAAAGCTTTGAGATATTCTCTTGACATTGAGGGTGCTGCGTCAAAATGAACTTTCTTATTTTTCAGAGGCTGCGCTACATTAGTCAGTCACTGCATTTTACAGTCCATGAGTCCTGTAACTCAGTGGTTAGAGCACTCGCTTTGCAAGTGAGAGACCTGAGTTCAATTCCAGGCAGAGGGCGAAACCTTGGGCAAGTTTCCTTACTCCACACAGAGCCTAATAATAATTCCTCCAAAACCAAAAACAATAATAAATTGGTCATTTTCAATCTATGACTGTTTGTGGGACATTGCTGTGCACAATTGGCTGCCGCGTTCGCCCACAAATATACAGTCAATTCACTTTACAGTGTGTCCTGTGAAACACTTTGAGAGGTCTAATAGACATGAAAAGCACTGTAACAAATGCAAGGATTATTATTATGATATGAAGCACTTTTGAGTGAACAATGACTGGATTGTTTATTACTGTATTAACCAAACATTCTCCAGGTGTCACTGCAAGGCACCACCAGCAGAGGGCGGCCTCGGCTCATTCCCCAATGATTGACCGGCTGCTGAGCCATTGTTACGTAACAAGTGATTCTGGGTTAATCACTAACTGACCGGGTAACTGACCACTCGTAACTGGAAACATCTCCTCACGGATAGCGACCAGCAGTCGGTGTCGGTGCAGGTGGGGAATCGGGTATGGGTTCTGTTTGATCCGATGAACCTGAATCACAGCGCAGTCTGTGCAGCTGCCGTGGAGGGAGGGAGTCCCCGGTGGTGATAAGTTTGGGCTGATCTGTGAGCAATGTTTATTGTGTATCTGGTCTGAGTTGGATTGTGAATTCTGCCTAATTGAGCTGAGACCCCGGGAGCCGCCTCCAGTTTGTTACCTTCCTCAGGGCAGTTTGCAAATCCTCCTCAGCAGATTAAATGATCTACAGCTCATGAGGGGCAGGTTCTGGTGAGACACCAGCTTGTGACTCCCTTTCAGACCTGTGGATTCTGGGTTAGATTGTGCATTACTTTGGACTGCAATTAGCTGCGATATCAAATGTCAGGATTATTGTTTATGTGATTGGAAGGAATCTGACTGAACAGTCTTTATTTAGCGAGGTTTATGATGACATGATGCTCGGTGTGGCTCTGCTCAACACTAATTCCCCGGAAGAAAGAAGAGACACGATGGGGGTAAATAATCATATTGAAACTTTTTATTGAAGTACATAGAGACACAACAATTTTTGTGGTACTATAACATTTACAGTTGCTCTACACCGATCACAGCACCTGTCCAGCGGGTCCATGTTACTCTGCAGTTTGCGTGGGGTGGATGATATCAGTAAAACCACCAACATGGACATCATACTGACCCCATCCAACACAATTGGTCATTTATAAGCAACTGGCGCCAGCTGCTGGAGACGGATGTGATTAGATATGAATAACACTTAATGCACTGACTAAAAGCAAGTTGACTGCCCTTGGAGGTGAAAGACTGTACAGTCGTAGCATTGAGCCTGATGTAACATCATCACTATTTCCACGTGCTGCTCTGGCTCCATCATTTTGGGTGACTGACTGACTGGAGCTTGGAAATTGGGGAGAGAAGTTATATGGCAGCACACACTCCGCACTTTGTTGTGGGCCTCAAAGTAATTTTAAACGTAAAAATTTTAGTTAAAAGTAAAAAAATCTCTTAAAGTGGTTTAAAGTGTTTCTTACCCAGGTTTTAATGGGTTGATTTTCTGTGGTCTGTACAGTGATGGTTAAGGAAAACTGATTTTCACTTAAATAACTACAATTATTGGACCAATAAATTTAATAACTGCAAAACGCATAAATTCTGTTTGTAGCTGGGGCTGGAGATGGACAGTCAGTGACAGCTGGCGGCTGCTCACTTCTGATAAACATCACAATTTAACACATCATTGTACAAAAAGGTTCAATAATCCAGTTCCAACCCATTAAGAAGTCAAAATCAATCATCTAGTTATAAAACTTAAATGTATCAAGATAAATGATTTAATTTTACAAAAAGACATAATGAAGAGGGGAGGTGGGATTGTGTATACACGGAGTGAAGGGGAAGCGGAGGCCTGGACAGGCAGCAGCTGTTTTACATGAGAGAAATTAAAATGATGCTCTCTGGTCACGAAGCTGTGTTCTCTGGAGAAACCTCATTAGTTCCAATGAAGCCAATGGTTCCATGTCCTGACACTGCAGTTTCCCCCAGTCACATGCTCCGCAGTTGGCTGAGCCAATGGTCTAATTGTTTGTTGGGAGATTAACAAACACAAAGCAACAGAGGGACAGACTGTGAGACAGGCCCAGGGTGAGAGCTGGGCCCACTTTACTTCTTGTTCTACTTCTGATCCGTAACCACGACCTTGGTCACTTAGTCACTATGTCTCACTCTCCGTGAAGACTTGTTTGTATAAATATGAAAGAGGAGATTTCGTCTGTCGATAGGAAAGTGGTTTCTCTATCTCCCAATGCCGGCATCACTGTCCACTGCATCGTCTCACAATGTAAGTGCCTTTACTGCTCTGTGTGATGGGTTGATGGTGTTGATTGATGGCAGGCTCTCAGATACCGACAGTTGACAAACCAATGGGGCTCCCAACCTGCTGTGGCTCGAGTCGGCCCGAACGTTCCCTCGGGAAAGCCTTCCGCATTCTCAAAGTTCAAACCTCTCGTTTCCAACCCCTTTGGCCAGTCACCTTGCACAGTTTGCTGGTGATAAGGTCTGTGTGAAAGCGCTTCCCGGCCTTGGCTCCCCCTGTGGTTTGGGTGAAGGCTCCACGGCCAGGTTGCAGCTCAGACCCTCAGTGGTCTCGGGGATGGTGGACATGGCGCCCTGGAGGCTGCAGCGTCTCCACAGCCCGACCAGCAGCGGCTGTGACAGCGAATATCTGTCGGTGTTGTTGCCGAGGTCAATCCAGGTCAGCGACAGGAACTTTTCCAGCTCCTTTATGGTCTCCATCATGTCCTTGAGGATGACTCCGATTCCTATTCAGCGCCAGGTTAGTGAGTTTGGGCAGAGAAGCCAGGAAGGGCACAAGCAGGTGGAAGCTCAGCGAAGCTCAGGTCAATGGAGACCAGGGCATCTCCGTGCAGCTCTAGGGAATAAATCACATAGTGACATCCCTGTCAGGTCTAGCGAGTCCCTGAGCAGGACCTTCTGCCGTGTAATTTTTAAACTGGGAAAAGAGAAAACAGATTGGCCAGTGAGTGAGGGCGGATAAGCACAAGGCCCCAATCTACTCCCAGGGTTTGGATAATAGGCAGAACACGTGGGCTAGAGCGTGTTAAACACAAGACGCAAGTGGGCTAGAGCGTGTTAAACAAGACCCACGTGGGCTAGAGTGTGTTAAACACAGTCTGCTACGTGATATAGTAAACTCCCAATTGCTGGTCGTTCTGAGTGTAAAGGGCTCAGTGACCAGTTCTCAGCAGCGGAGGTTAGGGGTGTCTATAAACACATAAATAAATGTGGCCAGGATAGTGACAACGCGATGACTTTAAGTGTCAAGACTAGTTAAGCCAAGGGTTATTGGGTGAAACAAAATGAATGAAGAGAGTTTTTGTTGCTTTCCTTGGGAATGATATGTGAATTTCCGGTGTTGTTGCTATGGGAACAGCCCAGTGACTGTAGCTGTTGGTGCTCAGTGTCTCTCCAGTCTCCAGCAGTCACAGCCTCAAGCCGACACTCCGCACTGTGACTGCCTGGGGGAGCCGGGCAGCTCAGAGGGAACTGCTGGGAGCCAATGGGCTTCAGATTCCCGGCCCCATCCCAGATTCCTGGGACCCACAGTTGACACTATAACATGATGCTCTATTGAGCCTCAGTGCTCATTATTGCTGTTGAGCACTGTGACCAGCCTGTGCCAATGTTAGTGACTCTTATTCTCAGTGGTATAAGTGCGAGGGTTAAAGTGGCCCAAGGAAGCTGGGACCATGGTTGTTTATCTCCAAACTCCCATCAAGGATAGTTTGACGGCTAAAAATGAGAGTTGGTGTCAGACCCTGTGGTGTTCACACAGACGATAAGGTAGCGAACACTGACACAGGTGATTCACCTCCCTGTTGGTGCTGAAGTTCACCCGCCCCAGCGAGCAATAGGAAACTTCTCTCTGCCTGGTGACTGTCAGACTACATCAGCAAACACAAGTGGTCAAATCAGTCTTGGTGACCAACTGCCGTGAGGAGACACTAACATGGGATCGATCACAGCCGTCACAGCCACCGGTGTTGGGCTGAGATTGTGAGTCAGTGTGACTTACGCACACGCTGTGCGTTTACTGATGGTTATTACAAGCTGTCGGCCCCTGTGGGTAGTTTAGGCCCTGGCGTTGCTGTGGCCATGGCTTCCTCCTGTGCCACTTCCTGTGCCCGGTGGATGTGGCATCAGGTGGTAGATGAGTTGTCGGCAAAGCTTCTCAGAGGATTTCAGCGGCTCGAGCTGTTGGAAAAACAGAGTCCAGTGAAACACAGAACAGATTCTGGCCTTCAATAGGGCGACCCTCGGAAAGCCATGTGTCTATTGTACCTACTGCTCCCAGGAGCTATGAGACGCTGCTGTGTGTGAAGGTGCCATATAAATGCAAGTTGTTGTTGTTGAGTTACTCATCCTCCCACAACAACACACATTCAGGGTTATCACACGCAGTATTTCCCGTGTGTGGGTGTGTGTGAGGGGCACTCCACACTCAGCCCCACTTGCCATCCCTGACCCACAGGGACAGACAGGCTAATCCCTCCCCATGAGCGCAGTGTAAAGAAACACACAGGACCTGGACTCCGAGGATATTCCTCCATTCACCCTCCCCAACCCCTCCCCCATTCCAGGTACATTGCCCTGTTATAATCTCTCAATGGCTGAGGCAATGCTGGTTGCCAGGGTTCAGCTGTTTATGACAGTCACAAGTGAAAAAATGCAGAGTAAACACTTTCACTGATAATAACCAGTCCTTGATATAAATAATCCTGGCGTCCGGCCACAACTCCTGTTTATATTGGCAGGAATTAACTCCCAGCCATTGGGGTCAGCCCTGACCCACTCACAGCCCACACCCCACCACCACCACACACATAATTCCTCCCACACACACACACACACACACATGCACACACAGTCCCCCCCCCCACCCCCCACACACAGAGTTACTTCAAATCCGTAAGTTTCAAAAGGTCTGAACCGAGAATCATAAGGAAAAGCTTTTCAGATACAAACAGATTTACAAACAATTAATTTATAATAATGGATAACTTATGTCTGGCTGTGTGTGTGTGTGTGTGTGTGTGGCTCTGTGTGTGTGTGTGGCTGTGTGTGTGTGTGGCTGTGTGTGTGTGTGTGTGTGTGTGTGGTTGTGTGTGTGTGTGTGGTGTGTGTGTGGCTGTGTGTGTGTGTGTGTGGCTGTGTGTGTGTGTGTGGCTGTGTGTGTGTGTGTGTGTGTTGGTGTGTGTGTGTGTGTGTGGTTGTGTGTGTGTGTGTGGCTGTGTGTGTGGCTCTGTGTGTGTGGCTGTGTGTGTGTGTGGCTCTGTGTGTGTGTGTTGCTGTGTGTGTGTGTGTGGCTGTGTGTGTGGCTCTGTGTGTGTGTGTGTGTGGCTGTGTGTGTGTGTGTGTGCTGCGTGTGTTTGTGTGTGTGTGTGTGGCTGTGTGTGTGTGTGTGTGGCTGTGTGTGTGGCTCTGTGTGTGTGTGTGTGTGGCTGTGTGTGTGTGTGTGTGGCTGTGTGTGTGTGTGTGTGTGGCTGTGTGTGTGGCTCTGTGTGTGTGTGTGTGTGGCTGTGTGTGTGGCTCTGTGTGTGTGTGTGGCTCTGTGTGTGTGTGTGTGGCTGTGTGTGTGGCTCTGTGTGTGTGTGTGTGTGGCTGTGTGTGTGGCTGTGTGTGTGTGTGTGTGTGATGGCTCTGTGTGTGTGTGTGTGTGGCTGTGTGTGTGTGTGTGTGTGTGTGTGTGTGGCTCTCTGTGTGTGTGTTGCTGTGTGTGTGTGTGTGTGTGTGGCTCTGTGTGTGTGTGTGTGTGTGGCTCTGTGTGTGTGTGTGTGTGTGTGTGTGGCTGTGTGTGTGGCTCTGTGTGTGTGTGTGTGTGTGTGTGTGGCTAATGTTGGGCAAGTCAACAGCTCATATACACAAACACAATGCAGCACTGCACAGCACAGTCCCAACAAAGCATAACGTGTGTGTTGGGTGGGGGGTAGACCGCCACTGTGTGTCTGGCAAGTCAACAGCTCACACACACACACACACACAGCTCACACACACACACACAGAGCCACACACACACACAGAGCCACACACACAGCCACACACACACACACAGCTCACACACACACACAGCTCACACACACACACACACACAGCTCACACACACACACACACAGCTCACACACACACACACACACACACAGCTCACACACACACACAGCTCACCACACACACACACACACACACACCACACACACACAGCTCACACACACACACACACAGCTCACGCACACACACACACAGCTCACGCACACACACAGCTCACGCACACACACACACAGCTCACGCACACACACAGCTCACGCACACACACACACACACACCCCCGGCTCACACAGACAGTTCACACAGCTCAGAAGAGGACAGTGCTGAGGTGCTATTCCATCCTATCACCAGGGTTACACTGACTGAAGTAAGAATTTCCTGGACACTGAATTCCCATCATATAGTGAGAATCTGGGCTGTATTCTCCCCCCCCCACCCCCACCCCCACCGGGTTCAATAGCTCACAACAGCAACTTGCCCCACACACAAGATAATAATTAATATAGAGTCGATATATATGATATGGCTTTATAAATAGGGACATAGAATACAAAACTCAGGAAGTTCTAATGAACCTTCATAAAACACTGGTTAGGCCTCAGCTAGAGACTGTGTTCAGTTCTGGGCATCGCACTTTAGGAAGCATGTCAAGGCATTGGAGAGGGTGCAAAAGAGATTTACCAGGATGGTACCAGGAATGCTGGACTTCAGTATGAGGGGAGGCTAGAGAAGCTAGGATTATTTTCTAGCTTCTAGCAGAGAAGGTTAAGAAGAAACTTAATACAAGTTTTCAAAATCATGAGTGGAATTCGATAGGGTGAATAAGGAGAAACCATTTCCACTGGGGGGATAGGTCGGTAATCTGAAGGCACCAATTTAAAATAGTTGTTAAAAGAAACAGAGGGGAGGTGAGGAGAAATTTTTTCACACAGTGAGGTTGTTCAGATCTGGAGTGCATTGTTTGAAAGGGTGGTGGAAGCCGATTTGATAACAACTTTTAAGAGAGAAGTAGATAATTATTTGGGGAGGACAAGTTTGCAGGGCTATGGGGAGAGAGTGGGCGAGTGAGATTGATTTGAATAGCTCTTTTCAAAGAGTCAGCACAGACACGATGGGCCGAATGGCCACCTTCTGCGTTGTATAATTCTGTAATTCTATGATATAGCGGTATCATGTCTTCGTGATGACTCAAAGCACTTCACAGAATATACTGTAAAATTAATTGTCTGTATATTTTGTAGGTGAAACGCAGCAGCCAATTGCACACAGCAGTCTCTCACAAACAGTCATGGATTGAGTGACCAAATTGTTTTTTTTAAAGGATTATTTCCCCTGGAAAAGCCATCCGCCAATTGACTAACAACCGGGTTCCTACTTACTGCTGGTAAACAGGGGCGTGTGGAGTAAGGAAACTTGGCCAACGTTTCACCTTGCTCAAGAATCGAACCCAGGACTCTCACTTGTGAGGCGAGAACTCCAACAACTGAGCTACAGGACTCAGCGCCCCTCACACACGGCAACGTTTGACAGTGGCGGAGCCTCAGGGAGGAAGAGGAAGGCAGAAAGTTGGAGTTTTTTAAAAAAAATAAGAATAAGTGTCTCTGGGTCAAAACCGTCAGATAGAAGCTTGAGTTAACGTCTCAGGTGAGGATGAGCCTCAGAGAGGAGGCTCGACCGACCCCTCACAGCCTAACGCACAGGTGGGAATGTGCTGCACAGCGCCAAGCCACCTAACCAGTGACCTGTAACTGCCTGAGTGTGAGAGAGTGTGAGAGGGTGTGTGAGTGTGAGAGAGTGTGAGAGGGTTCGGAGAGTGTGTAAGTGTGAGAGGGTGTGAGAGAGTGTGAGTGTGAGAGGGTATGTGAGTTGAGATGGTGTTAGAGAGTGTGAGAGAGTGTGTGTGAGAGTATGAGAGTGTGTAAGATGGTGTGAGTGAATGTGTGAGAGAGAGTGTGTGAGAGAGAGTGTGAAAGCGTGAGAGAGAGTGAGAGAGAGAGTGAGAGAGTGTGATTGAGAGTTTGAGAGAGAGTGTGAGTGACAGTGAGAGAGAGAAAGAGAGTGTGAGTGAGTTCAACACAAAACACAGGTGTAAGAGGGAGCAACGACACCAAGAAATTGAGGCTAATGGTGTCCCCGGAGTGAGGGGAAACAGTCATCAAAACTTTGCGTCTGATTTGTCTGATCAGCATTCCGAAGGGAACCGTTTTCTTCGGCTTGGGGGGTGGGTGGGGAGGACTGAGGGTGGCTGTGTCGCTCCTCCCAATGTGAACGGAGCTTCGCAGATGTAACATTGTATTGTATTGTGTGATTCCGGATCCCTCTTTCTCGGCAGAAACATGAGGAATGTGGAGAAGGGCCTGATTGGCTTCATAACTGTGACCCTGGTGGCTCTCTGCCTGATCCTGGTCCTGTGTTTCGGGACAAAGTCCAGGCAAGCGGGACAGGCTCCTCATTCCTTCAGGAATGCTGTCGTAGCCACAGATGCAATAAAGTGCTCGGAAATCGGCAGGTCGGTAACCGAGGGAGAGGGCGGGTCTGAGCTCCGAGTGCCTGTGACGCAGAGTTACACAGAAGTACAGACAAGCTTTTCATCAGGACACTTGTATTTATAAGCTCAATTCAAGTGGGGAGCTGGCACTCCCAGTGCTTGACTTGTTATCGAGTTAGTAAATGTTCAGAGACTTTATACCACCTGAAGGGCGCTATATAAATGCAAGTTGTTGTTGTAAACACGCCATATGTTGTTGGGTTGCAGTGTTGGGTTTGGTTGGTGATGCTGTCACACAGCCAGGGGTGGGGGGTGGGGGATAGGAAGATCTGTCTTCGATCACCTACTGATCCCATCTTCATCCTTGGCCCTTGTTAAAAAGAAACATTGGATCCCACAAAGAGGAGATTTATTTAGAGGTTTGGTTGCTAATGTCTCTGCTTCCCGCCCTCCCGCTGTGAAGCTGATGTTGATCTGATTGCAGGGATATCCTGAGGAGGGGCTCTGCTGTGGACGCAGCCATTGCCAGCCTGCTCTGTGATGGGCTCATAAACATACACAGCGTGGGCATCGGGGGTGGCTTCATCATGACCATTTATGATGCACAAACAGGTAGTTTGTTCTCTCTATCCTTCTCCAAATCTCTCTCTCTCTCTCTCTTGCTCTTGGACATGTTGTGAACCAGCCCTGTCAAGCTAATCCATTTCCCACAAACTGACAAAGTTATTTGTTTTGTGTTTTTTTTAAATCAGAAAAGGTTGAAGTTATTAACTCCAGAGAAGTGGCTCCTGGTGAGGCTGCACAAGGCCTGTTCACCAATGACACCCGCTTGTCATTCAAAGGTAAAACCTGTCACTGAGCCATGGGGGCAGCAGGAAAGACAGCAGTGTGTGTGTGTGACTGTGCCTCTCACTGTGTGACGTGTCTCACTGTGTGACTGTGTCTCTCACCGTGTGACTGTGTCTTTCACTGGATGGGGTAATGACACTGTGTGTGTGGGGGATATTGATATTGTGTGTGGGGGGTAATGACACTGTGTGTGGGGGGGTTGGTGGTAATGACACTGTGTGTGGGGGGGTTGGTGGTAATGACACTGTGTGGGGGTGGGGGTAGGGGGGGGGCAATGACACTGTGTGGGGGGGGGGTAATGACACAGTGTGGCTGCCCCACAGGAGGTCTGTCCATCGCGGTTCCCGGGGAAATACGAGGATACCAACTCGCCCACAAGAGACATGGCCGGTTACCGTGGAAATTGCTGTTTGAGCCGAGCATCAAACTGGCCAGAGACGGATTCCCTGTTAGTGCAGCGCTTGGCAAAGCCATAAAGCAATATCAGCAAGACATCGAGAGGGACCCAGCGCTGTGGTAAGGCAGCGGCTGATTCATTCCCTCACGGCAGCTTTATGACGACATGGAAAGCTGTAGCAGAGCCTCGCGCACAGAGAGAGACAGAGAGTGTCAGAGAAGTGGGAAGAGACACACACACAACAAGAACAACAGATTGCATTTATATGGTGCCTTTTACATCGGGAGGATGTCCCAAAGCACTGACACTCACACAGACAGAGAAAGAATCCTCGACTCATGGAGATGCCCTTCCTCTAGGGAGAGAACTGTGTTCCCTTGAGGGTGTATTTGAATACGTTGAGAAGAAACCATCAATGCTGGAGTGTGTGAATGGTGATGGCTGAGCACTGTACTGGCTGTTCTGGTAGGGTCACTGTTCAATCCTGAGCTGCGCTAATTGCTGTGGAAAGATTCTTCGTTATCTCTGAACCACATTCAATGGCTGCAGCTGGACAAGTGCAGAGAGTGACTGAGGACAGACAGTGACTGAGGACAGAGAGTGACTGAGGTCAGAGAGTGACTGAGGTCAGACAATTAGCCACAACGGAAAGTCAATGACAGCCTCAGGAGCACAGAAGAAAAACTGTAACCAAACCTCTGGTGGTAGAATAGTCAAACCTTCTGTCTGTCTGTTTGTCTCGTGTTCTCCCCACAGTGAGGTGTTTTGCAATTCCAACGGGAAAATACTCCAGGAAAATGACATCATCAGATTCCCCAAATTAGCTGAAACCTATCAGATTCTGGCCGAAGAAGGGCCTGATGCCTTCTACACCGGATCCCTGTCACAGCAGATAGTGACCGATATCAGGAAGGCAGGTGGGTGACAGCCGCTCAGTGTTTAACACAGGGAGTGATGGGGGATTCCCCTGGTAACAGGGAGTGATGGGGGATTCCCCTGGTAACGGAATGATATGGGTATCTCTGTCTGTTCCAGGTGGAATCATAACCCTCAAAGACCTGGCAGACTACAAGGCTGAGCTGTCAGAGGATTTGCTCAGCTTCCCACTGGGTGACTACACACTGGTCACCCCCAACGCTCCATCTGGGGGACCTGTGCTCGGCCTCACCCTCAACATCCTGAAGGGTGAGCTCATGTCTGTCTATTTACACAGCGTAACAAACCATAACAGACATTCTCAACCACCGCATATCATTGCCGTCTATTATTGGAGTCCAACAGTCCAACCTGTTTTGTTTAATGGTCAGGAGTCTCTTGGTGGATTGTAGATTTTTGCAGTGATTTATCAGCCCAATCCACCTCCCTGATAACCTATTTCCAGCTGTTAATTACTCCTGGATAACAAAACATTTCCTGGCGTTCACTCTGACAGCCTGTCCCTCTTCCCTCTGCTGTGCCGAGGTAAAGGGAAGCACAAGCCTTGATCTCAACTCAGGGCAGCGAGACAACAACCTCCTAACATCGGCCGACTGGATCATGTGACAGAACAGACAAGCTCGAGATGTTATTGATTGTGTAGTTGTGATGGTTTTCCCACTTTGTTCCCATCCGAGCGAAGCCGGTCAGTGTCAGCAGCTCCCAGTGGCTGTTTCTAATTTCACCCCAATGCAAACTTCTCTCCCTGTTCCTAGGTTATCATTTCTCTCCGGAAAGTGTTTCCACAGCGGCCAAGAGGGCCCTGACATCCCATCGCATCGTCGAAGCCTTTAAATTTGCCTTTGCAAAGAGGAGTATGATGGGAGACCCACGATACGTTAACATCACCGAGGTGTGCTGGCCCTTTAAATGCCGCCCCTTTAATATCAATTCTCACCCTGTTTCCCACTATTTTGACACTGTTTTGCTCTAACAGCTCATCTCCAATATGACCTCAGAATATTTTGCATCTCAGCTTTGGGATAAAATCACGGACAACACCACACACCCAGTGAGTTACTATGAGCCAGAATTCTACACACCGGACAGTCACGGCACCTCTCACCTCTCGGTGGTGGCACAGGACGGAGGCGCAGTGTCAGCCACCAGCACCATTAACCAATAGTGAGACCTTTACCTTTACCCTGTGTGTGACTGTGTGTGTGTGAGACTGTGTATGTGTGTGACTGTGTGTGACAGTGTATGTGACTGTATGTGTGTGACTGTGTATGTGACTGTGTGCCTGTCTGTTTGTGTGTATGTATGTGTGAGTGTGTGTCTGTGTGCGTGTGTTGTGGCTCCAGGCTCTGCCCTGTCATTGCTGAAGGCAGTGACGTGGGTTTGGGATGTGGTGCTGTGAGCACGGTGGGGAGTGGGGGGGCCACAGCTGAGCCTGATGCTGGCTTTCACACACAGGCACTTCTCGGGGGTGGGGTGTGGGAGGAGGGATTGACTACTGATCAGAGGCAGAAATCACATCTGGCTTCTGGTTTCTCCTTCAATAAACCTCACAGCAATTGTGCCAGGCCAGACTGAGCACAGAATGGGGGTGGGTTTGGGCTTGTACCCCGAGCGGTGGCTTAATGTGGAGCAACACCCAGTCAATACTATATCTATTCCTCCTGCACTGCTCACGTCTGTTGCTCACGTCTGTTTCTCATGACTGTTTCTCACGACTGTTGCTCACGTACCCGTGCGTTTGCGCGAGGGTTTAATCCACAGTTTTGGGTCGAACGTGAGATCTGTGAGAAATGGCATCATCTTCAACGATCAGATGGACGACTTCTCCTACCCCCAAGTCGTAATCGGCAGTGAGCTCCCGGCTTCCGAAGCCAATTCACTGCAAGCAGGTGTGTTGTCGTCCGTCTGTATTGTATTACTTGTATTGATGGTCTTATACCAGGGTAGGGAGGGGAGGGGGGTTGGGGGAGGGAAGTGGGGGAGGGGTGGGGGGAAGTGGGGGAGGGGGCAGGGAAGGGGGGAAGGGGATGCGGGGAAGGAGGCGACTATTGTTTTGGCTCACTCCTCCCCCTGTAAATGATCAGGTCCATGCTGTCCTCCTCACAGGAAGGGGATATCCTCGGGAGGCCAAAGGCTAATTGATGGAGACTGGGTCTGAGTCTCTCACAACCGTATAATGAACTTTAGGGTATAAACTGAGTATAGAGTCTAAATTATAGACTTTTGAGTATAAACTGGTTTGAGAGCCCCCCCCCCCCACACCACCCGCTCTCGCTGGGGAGATGGTGAGTTTGGAAGTTCTGGTATTTCTCTCCATTGTACCTGAGCCCGAGGTTAAACCATGTGAAACATCTCCCTTTATAATAATCCTTGCATTTGATATCGGCGCTTATCACATCTTCACAGAATATACTGTAAAGTGCAGTGACTGTGTGTTTTACTTTACCAGGTAAAAGGCCGCTGTCCTCCATGTGCCCGGCCATTATACTGGACAAACAGCACAGGGTGAAGATGGTGGTGGGAGCTTCAGGAGGAACCAAGATCATCTCAGCGACAGCTCTGGTGGGTCAGATTGAGGTGAGGGTTATTGGGAGCAGATGTTAATCTCTCAATCGCGCTCACTCTGTGCCTGTGTTTCCAGGTGATCATGAATGTGCTGTGGTTTGGTTACGAAGTGAGGAGAGCTGTAAACGAACCTCGATTCCACAATCAACTCTTACCCGACCTGACAGAACTTGATGAGGATATTGAGCAGGTGATTTCTGGGCAGGTGTGAACCTGACATTAGACCCGGTGAAATGGTTATTTTGTTTGGTCAGCAACTTGCAGTAAACCATCACCTGCTTAACAGTCTCCAACCCAAACTGAGATTTCCATGTATCCCACCACACATGGAGATCCCAGAGATAGATTGTTGGAATGGAATTGTCCTCTCTCGCTGGAGGGAAGCATCCTGCTTACATGATTCAGAAAAGTATTAGGCGAAGGTTGGCAGGATCCAAGGCATGAGGGGGGGCAGCCCAGAGTCTGTGTTGGGATAACTGCTGGAATCTAACCAGTTAAAACCACATAATGCAGCTGAAATCTGTGAAAGCATCATCTAATCTAAGATGAGATGGTCACAGATAAAACACATTATAATGTGATTTGTTAGGAAATTGGCTGCCATGCCAGTACACTTTACAGTATATTCTGTGAAGCGCTTTAAGACAACAACAACTTGCACTTATATAGCGCCCTCCACGCTGGGCGGCGTCTCAGAGCTTGACAATGGCGGAGCCCAAGACCGAACCAAGGGGAGGGGGAAGGTGACCGTAGGCAGGCTCGAAAAGGAAGGTCTTCAGGCAGGACCTGAAGATGGGGAAGAAGTGAGGGGTGGCGGGGTGAAGGGGTTGAGGGAGGGAGTTCCAAAGTTTCAGGGTATAGTGGCTGAAGGCACGGTCACCGATGGTGGAGTGGAGGATTCGGGGACACGGAGGAGGCCGGACCCAGTAGAGCGGAGGCAGCGGATACTGCTGTGGGGAGAGAGGAAGTTTCAAGAAATGGGGAGGGGGCAAGGAATGGATAGATTTAAACACTAGAGTGAGGATCTTGAAGTGGATCCGCTCTATGACTGGAGCCAGTGGAGTTTGGCCAGGACTGAAGTAATCGGGGTGTGGAGTTTGGTGCGGAGACTTCTCGAAGACGTGGTAAGGCACTATATCAAATGCAAGGATTATTATTATTACATCCTATTAATGAGGGACTCTGAGAGCATATCACACCCTAATCCAGTGATGCACAACTCACATTGTTACAGGGCATCACATCAGTGGGGATCAGGCCCAGTCTGTGACTGTTCATGGCTTTTGTTTCACTCCGTGTTCAACACAAGAACAACAAGCACTTGTCCAGCCTCTCACATGCAGCGCTCAGGCTTCAACAACTCCCCAATATCAGCAATAACAACACAATCACACATGACACAAGCAATGCGACATTACCCATCTCAACCCAACTCATCCCAACTCAACCCCAAATCAACTCAACACGCTAACTCAGCCCAACCCATCTCAACTCCAACCCGATGCAACACTTGCTGGAAAATACCCCATGGAATCCAGCCTGTCTTATTGACAACATTTCTGCCAGAGTTTAAGCCCAGGCAGGGGGTTGTCTATGCGGGAGGCACCTCCCACCCCAATTCGGAGTCACGTTCCACCACTGTTAAGCGCTTTGAGATGCTACCCTGCATGGAGGATGCTATATAAGTGCAAGCTGCTGTTGTTGTCAGTAATTGTTTGTCGGGTGTTTACAGGTTGGGGGCTGCCAGGCTTGGGCAGGTATACTGTGAGAGAACCAATGAGGGGACAGATCCTGGGTGAGGAAGCTACTTCGCTTGTCACACGAAAACAAGCTGATGCCATGTGTCAATATTAGCTATTAGCTATCATCAGCTTGTTCAGCGCTGAGTGTTTGCTTTGGACGTTCTTAGCTCAGCAAACAGGGAAAGTGTGATTCTTGAACTTGTTTAAAGTATTGTATCTTTTCATGTGTTTGTGTGTCTGTGGCATGTTATCTCTGCAGGGAGAGAATTGGGACCAGGGCTAGAGATTATCCCTGACGCGGGTTCAGTGCTGATGTGGTTTGTGTTCCAGGCTGTACGCGACGGTTTGCGGAGGAGGAACCATTGTGTGGCTCATGCTGACTCGTGGGCAGTGGTCCAGGCCATTGTGCGGAGTGGAGCCATGTGGACGGCGCAGTCAGACCCCCGCAAGGGGGGCCGGCCGGCAGGTTACTGAGCCCCACCCCACCTGCCTGCCACACACAGGACACACTGCCCCACAGGTTACTGAACTCCCACAAGGACTTGGGTATGTGGTCACCTCCACACCACGACCACATGGATATCACAGCTACACTGGACACCCACCCCACCCCCCGCCGCCCCCCACAAGTTACTGCCCCCCCCCCCACCCCCAGACCTCGCAGCCACCCCGGCAGGTTACTCGCAAACCCCCCGCCCCATCCTTGATTACTGAGCTACCAGGGCTGGGTCCATGGTCACCAAACCGAGACCAACATTAAAGCCAGACAGGTTACAACCAGGGAGCCAAAGCACAGAGCAACGGTGAGGGGATCCCAGGCAGGTGGAGTGGTGGGCATGGTCTCCATCTTCATCTCCATCTTGTGCCCCCGACCCTGACCCCCTCCCTGGTGACCGCCGACCCTGAAACCCTGCCTGGTGACCCTTGACCGGCGGACACTGACCCAGGTACCGATATCAAATAATCAAACTGACACCCATTCTGTTTGATCAGGTAAAAGTGAAAAAGCTCAAGTTCAGTGTCAATGATTTACTGCTTAAATTTAACAAATGAAAGAGTAAATGATTACATTGTCAATCTGACCTTCAGTCTGCCCATGTTAAATATTAACAGACTGATTCCAGAGTCTGTGCCTCTCTCCAGAAATCTCTGTCATTGGGCTGTTTCCAGGCCTGACCCCCCCTACCCCACCCTTCACACGCCTTAGCACCTTTATATCCTCAGCCCAACTAGCAGCACTCCTCATTCCCAGCAACAAGATCCCAATTGTTTTCCTCCTGGATTTTCATGACGTTAAATCAAAAACGAGGTAAAAACCTAAATTAATTTTATTTTCTGTGTTTTTGCTGAAATGTATGTTTTAATATATTTTGGGAATTTTTTTAAAACATCAATAAAGTAAGTGATGGGTTCTCTGTTGGAAACTGATGCGTTTTAACTAACGTGTGTCTGTTAGAAATCGTCACACGAACGGTTCTGACTGTTACAAGCAGAGGATGTTGTTAGTGTGACTGTTACAGGCAACGGCTGGTGTCAGTGTGACTGTTACAGACAGTGGCTGGTGAGCAGGTGAGAAGCACTGAGCTTATTGTCAAAGGTTCACAACTGGCCTGATGTTGGTCGAAGGTGTTACACTGAGCGCGGTCAGTTCAAGTGGCATTCTCTGAAAAGAGAAGGGGGTTTTCCTGTCCCAGGGTCCCAGCCAAACTGACCGTACGGCTGTTCATGCCACATCACTCTACGTAAATCACCTGTTGTGTTTGGCTACAAAATATACTTGATTCCTGTGAAGCTCTTTGAGCTGTCTCGATGCTGTAATGAGGTACTGTATCTTAACACTAGGATTATTATTGAGGCGTGTGGGGTCCTGTAGCTCAGTGGTTAGAGCACTCGCCTCGCAAGTGAGAGACCTGGGTTTCATTCCCGATAGCGTGACATGTTGGGCAAGTTTCCTTACTCCACACGCCTCTGCAGTGGGCTGGGGGAAGTGGGTAGGATTGAGGGTAGGTGGGTAGGGCTGGGGGATGTTGCGTAGGGCTAGGGGCGGTGGGTAGGGCTGGGGGGTTGGGAAGGGCTGGGGGGGTGGGTAGGGCTGGGGGGGGTGGGTAGGGCAGTGGGTAGGGCTGGGGGGTTGGGAAGGGCTGGGCTGGGGGGGGTGGGTAGGGTAGGGCTGGGGGTGAGAGTGCTATCTGCCCGATCATGGTGAGGCATGTGTCAGTCACTGGCTGATCACAGTGATGGATATGGGTGTTGATACCAGCAAAGCCAAGGCTTTCAATCGCCTGAAACCCAATGATTCCCATTTGCTGGTTGTCCTGACGTCTGGTTTACAAGCTCCCAAACACAGAGGCAAAGAAACTGCCGGAAATCGAACCCAGATCCTCTGGCTTGTGAGGCGAGTGCTGTAACGTCCCACTCTGTACCCTCAGGACAATGAGGAAGTGGCTGAAGGTTGCGCTGGGGCTGCTGGTGGCCGGGGTGACCCTGGGCCTGGCTCTGACCCTGGGACTGACCCTGGGCCTTGGTTCCGCATCTACCCCCAACACCTACAGCCACGCTGTGGTCGCTTCCGACACCATCACCTGTTCCCAGGTCGGCAGGTAGGTCACCGTGAGGTCAACGAGGTGTCAGTGTGGGGTCAATGTGGGGTCAGTGAGAGGTCACCATGAGGTCAGCCAGAGGTCATTATTGTTGGGGATTTTACTCTCAGCTCCTGGCGGGGCTCTGGGTTGGGTTGACGGCTGTGGTGGGGGTTGCGAGCTGGGGGGGTGGGGTCTGGGGTGTAGCAGTTGGAGGCTGGGCTGGGGGCTAGCGTGTGGTGGGGGCTGGGGGCTGGCGTGGGGGGTGGGGCTGGGGGCTGGCGTGGGGGGTGGGGGCTAGGGGTTAGCGTGGGGGGGTGGGGCTGGGGGTTAGCGTGGGGGGTGGGGCTGGGGGCTGGCGTGTGGTGGGGGCTGGGGGCTGGCGTGGGGGTGGGGGCTAGGGGTTAGCGTGGGGGGGTGGGGCTGGGGGTTAGCGTGGGGGGTGGGGCTGGGGTTAGCGTGGGGGGTGGGGCTGGGGGTTAGCGTGGGGGGTGGGGCTGGGGGTTAGCGTGGGGGGTGGGGCTGGGGGCTGGCGTGGGAGTGGGGGCTCAGGCTGGACGGACACATGTCTGACGTCTGGAGTTGATTTTGCTACAGGGACTTCTTGCAGATGAACGGCTCGGCTGTGGACGCCGCCATCGCCAGCCTCCTGTGTGTCGGCCTCAGCAACGTGCACAGTATGGGCATCGCTGGGGGCCTGATGATGGTTATATACAACGCCAACACAGGTAGGTCTCAGCTCTAAGTGAGTACACACCTCACTGTGTGTGGGGGCTGAGAGCTGGGATGGGGGTTGGGCTGGGTATGCACGCTGGTGTGGGGGGTGGGGGCTGGTGTGGGGGCTGGTGTGGGGGCTGGTGTGGGGGGTGGGGGCTGGTGTGGGGGGTGGGGGCTGGTGTGGGGGGTGGGGGCTGGTGTGGGGGGTGGGGGCTGGTGTGGGGGGTGGGGGCTGTGCTGGGAACCGTGTTTTTTGTTCAGAGGAAAACAGATCACAGCCACAGGAAAAGTCCAAGTCTTGTCAGTCTGTGATTTCAATGCCTCGTCTCTGACTGTAACCCCTGGTTCAGCTCCCACTTGTGAGCTGGGAAACCCAGTGCTGATGTCGGTGTCTGTGATGTTGAGATGTTTCCTGTAGCAATTAACGTAGGATCTTTTCCCATCTGATTTTCAGGAAAAACTGAGTTCATTAACTCCAGAGAAGTGGCTCCAGGAAATGCAACTGAGGACATGTTTGGGAACGACACTCAACTGTCACTCAAAGGTCAGGGGTCAGACACACTCTGTGTGTGTGTGTGTGTGTGTGTGTGTGGTTGGGGGGGGGGGGGGGGGTTAATGACACTGTGTGTGTGGAGGGAGTAATGACACTCTGTGGGTGGGTGTGATGGCACTCTGTGTGGGGGTGAGTGGTCATGACACAGTGTGGGGTGGTGGTGGGGGGCAATGACACTGTGTGGGGGGGTAATGACACAGTGTGGCTGCCCCACAGGAGGTCTGTCCATCGCGGTTCCCGGGGAAATACGAGGATACCAACTCGCCCACAAGAGACATGGCCGGTTACCGTGGAAATTGCTGTTTGAGCCGAGCATCAAACTGGCCAGAGACGGATTCCCTGTTAGTGCAGCGCTTGGCAAAGCCATAAAGCAATATCAGCAAGACATCGAGAGGGACCCAGCGCTGTGGTAAGGCAGCGGCTGATTCATTCCCTCACGACCAAGATCATTCACCCACCTACTCGCTCATTCGCACATTTACTAAAAGGGCTGTTGGTGTCAACATAGATAAGGCACCTGGTCCGGACGGGATGCATCCCAGGTTACTGAGGGAAGCGAGGGTGGAAATAGCGGAGGCTCTGGCCATAATCTTTCAATCCTCTTTGGACACTGGAGTGGGGGGGTGGGGGCTGTGTGCCAGAGAACTGGAGGGTTGCAAATATTACTCCCCTATACAGAAAAAGGCAGAAGGATAAACCTGAGAGCTACAGGCCAATCAGCCTAACGTCAGTAGTAGGGAAACTTATGGAGACTATAATTCGGGGCAATATAAATTCTCAGTTAGAAAAATATGGTTTAATAAAGTACAGTCAACACGCAAATCGTGTCTGACAAACCTAATAGAATTTTTTGATGAAAAAGAGGGTGGATGAAGGTAGCGCAGTAGACGTAGTTTATCAAGATTTTCAAAAAGCATTTGACAAAAGTGCCACATAAGAGACTTATATGCAAAATAGAAGCCCACGTTATTAAACGGACTGTGGCAACACGGATCCAGAACTGGCGAGGAGACAGAAAACAGAGAGTGGTAGGAAACGGTTGCTTTTCTGACTGAGTGAGGTATGTAGTGGTATCCCTCAGGGGTCGGTTTTGGGACCACTGCTCTTTCCAAGCTGAACCTGGATATAGGGAGCACAATTTCCAAATTTGCAGATAGTTCTGAGCTAGGAAAAGTAGTTGATGGTGAGGAGGATAGCACCAGACTCCAAGAGGAGTTAGACAACAACAACTTTTAAGAGAGAAGTAGATGGGTATTTGGGGAGGACAGGAATGCAGGGCTATGGAGAGAAAGTGGGCCAGTGGGATGAAGTTGGAAGCTCTTTTCGGAGCCGGTGCACACACAATGGGCCGAATGGCCTCTTTCTGTGCTGTATGATTCTATGGATTCTATGATTTGCTCACTATCCCCAGACATTTCCTGTGAAAGGTTCTTGTGCTCCTGTGTTCTCCCCACAGTGAGGTGTTTTGCAATTCCAACGGGAAAATACTCCAGGAAAATGACATCATCAGATTCCCCAAATTAGCTGAAACCTATCAGATTCTGGCCGAAGAAGGGCCTGATGCCTTCTACACCGGATCCCTGTCACAGCAGATAGTGACCGATATCAGGAAGGCAGGTGGGTGACAGCCGCTCAGTGTTTAACACAGGGAGTGATGGGGGATTCCCCTGGTAACAGGGAGTGATGGGGGATTCCCCTGGTAACGGAATGATATGGGTATCTCTGTCTGTTCCAGGTGGAATCGTAACCCTCAAAGACCTGGCAGACTACAAGGCTGAGCTGTCAGAGGATTTGCTCAGCTTCCCACTGGGTGACTACACACTGGTCACCCCCAACGCTCCATCTGGGGGACCTGTGCTCGGCCTCATCCTCAACATTCTGAAGGGTGAGCTCATGTCTGTCTATTTACACAGCGTAACAAACCATAACAGACATTCTCAACCACCGCATATCATTGCCGTCTATTATTGGAGTCCAACAGTCCAACCTGTTTTGTTTAATGGTCAGGAGTCTGTTGGTGGATTGTAGATTTTTCCAGTGATTTATCAGCCCAATCCACCTCCCTGATAACCTATTTCCAGCTGTTAATTACTCCTGGATAACAAAACATTTCCTGGCGTTCACTCTGACAGCCTGTCCCTCTTCCCTCTGCTGTGCCGAGGTAAAGGGAAGCACAAGCCTTGATCTCAACTCAGGGCAGCGAGACAACAACCTCCTAACATCGGCCGACTGGATCATGTGACAGAACAGACAAGCTCGAGTTGTTATTGATTGTGTAGTTGTGATGGTTTTCCCACTTTGTTCCCATCCGAGCGAAGCCGGTCAGTGTCAGCAGCTCCCAGTGGCTGTTTCTAATTTCACCCCAATGCAAACTTCTCTCCCTGTTCCTAGGTTATCATTTCTCTCCGGAAAGTGTTTCCACAGCGGCCAAGAGGGCCCTGACATCCCATCGCATCGTCGAAGCCTTTAAATTTGCCTTTGCAAAGAGGAGTATGATGGGAGACCCACGATACGTTAACATCACCGAGGTGTGCTGGCCCTTTAAATGCCGCCCCTTTAATATCAATTCTCACCCTGTTTCCCACTATTTTGACACTGTTTTGCTCTAACAGCTCATCTCCAATATGACCTCAGAATATTTTGCATCTCAGCTTTGGGATAAAATCACGGACAACACCACACACCCAGTGAGTTACTATGAGCCAGAATTCTACACACCGGACAGTCACGGCACCTCTCACCTCTCGGTGGTGGCACAGGACGGAGGCGCAGTGTCAGCCACCAGCACCATTAACCAATAGTGAGACCTTTACCTTTACCCTGTGTGTGACTGTGTGTGTGTGTGACTGTGTGTGTGTGTGACTGTGTGTGTGTGACTGTGTGTGTGTGTGACTGTGTACGTGACTGTGTGTGTTTGTGACTGTGTGTGATTGTGTGTGTGTGACTGGTATGTGTGTGTGACTGTGTGTGTGTGTGACTGTGTGTGTGTGTGTGTGACTGTGTGTGTGTGTGGTGACTGTGTGTGTGTGTGTGTGACTGTGTGTGTGTGTATGACTGTGTTGTGTGTGTGTGTGCCTGTGTGTGTCCTCTCTCTCTCTCCTGTCTCTGTCTTTGTCTCACTCCCTCTGGCCACAGACCCTGGTGTTCTCTCTGTTCACAGCTTTGGCTCAAACGTGAGGTCAACGACGAACGGGATCCTGTTTAATGACGAGATGGATGACTTCTCCTCCCCTTTCAGCATCAACGGCTTCGGGGTCCCCCCGAGCGAAGCCAACTTCATCCGCCCAGGTCTGTATATCACCATCACCGGCCCCCAACCCCGACCGCAACCCCGAACCCCAGCCCCGAACCCCAGCCCCGAACCCCAGCCCCCAACCCAGGCCCCCAATCCCCGGCCCCCAATCCCCAACCCCGGGCCCCAGCCCCCAACCCCGACCGCAACCCCGAACCCCGGCCCCAATCTCCAACCCTGGCCCCCAACCCCAGCCTCCAACCCCGGCCCCAACCCCGTCCCAACTCCAGCCCTCAACTCCAAGCCCCAAACTCCAACCCCATGTATTAACACTGCAAAGTGTCTCTTTATCAGGGAAAAGGCCCCTGTCCTCTATGTGCCCAGCCATTATATTGGACAAACAGCAAAGGGTGAAGATGGTGGTGGGAGCTTCAGGAGGAACCAAGATCCCCACAGCAACCGCTCTGGTCAGGCTGTCCTCATGTCTGTGTGTGTGTCTTGTGTGTGACTGTGTGTGTGTGTGTGTGTGTATGACTGTGTGTGTCACCAGTTCTGGCCAGGCCCCACTGGCTCCCTATCACTGAACGGATCAACTGTGAAGATCCTCACTCGTATTTAAATCCATTCACTCTCTGGCACTTCCCTAACTCTCCGACCCCCTCACCCCCCAATCCACCACCCGGCACCTCCGCTTGATTGGCGCCGGCTCCTACCCATCCCTCACACCCTCCGCCCCACCATCGGAGATTGTGCTTTCAGCCACTATGCCCCAAAACTCTGGAACACGCTCCCTCAATCCCTCTGCCTTGACCCCTCTCTCTTCTCTTTCAAGTCCTGCCTGAAAACTTTCCTCTTCGACCGTGCTTACGGCCACCTCCCCCATCCCCCAGCTCGGAGTCAGGCTCTGACATTGTTAAGCTCTTTGAGATGCTACCCTGCGTGAGGATGCAATATAAGTAAAGTTGTTGTTGTTGTGTGACTGTGTGTGTTTGATCGTGATTGTGTATGAACCAGAATCTCCTTGGCACCGAACTGGCTCCAAGGTGACATTTGTACCAGACAGCGTTCTCGTTTTCTCTCTCTCTCTCAATGACAATCTATGTGGTTTTAGCTGATTAAACTCCAGCAGTTACCCCAACGCACACTCTGGGGCTCCCCAAGCCTTGGCTCTTGCCAACCTGCGCCTAATACTTTCCGGAAGTAGGTAAGTGGGATGTATCCCTCCAAAGAGAGAGAGAACATTCCATTTAAACAATCTATCTCTGGGATTTCCATGCGTAGGTGGGATACGTGGAAATTGCAGCTTGGTTTGGAGACTCTTAAGCAAAACGTGTGTTTCCAGGTGATCATGAACGTGCTATGGTTTGGTTATGACGTGAGGAGAGCTGTGAACGAACCGCGATTCCACAATCAACTCTTACCCAATGTGACATTGGTTGAAAATGACATCCAAGAGGTCCGTGTGTGTGTGTGTGAGACGGTGTGTGTGTGACAGGTGTGTGTGTGACAGGCGGTGAGAGTGTATGTGTGACAGGCGGTGATGCGGTGTGTGAGACAGTGTGTGGTGTATGACAGGCAGTGACGGAGTGTGTGTGACAGGCGGTGACAGCGTGTGTGTGACAGGCGGTGACGGGGTGTGTGTGTGACAGACGGTGACGGGGTGTGTGTGTGACAGGCGGTGACAGCCGGGCTGAGGGAGAGGAACCATTGTGTCGAGATGACCCCCGACACCCTGGCGGTAGTCCAGGCCATCGTGCAGAGCGGAGATGTGTGGACAGCGCAGTCAGACCCTCGCAAGGGGGGCCAACCTGCAGGTTACTGAGCCCCCTCTTCCCCCACTAACCCCTCCCCCACACCCCTCCCCTCCACATAACTCCTCCCCCGCACACCCCTCCCACTCCACATATAATAATAATAATAATCCTTGCATTTGATATAGCGCTTTTCACGTCGGGAGGACGTCCCAAAGCGCTTCACAGGTTATACTGTAAAGTGAATTGACTGTATATTTGTGGGCGAACGCGGCAGCCAATTGCGCACAGCAATGTCCCACAAACAGTCGTAAATTGAAAATGACCAATTTATTATTGTTTTTGGTTTTGGAGGGATTATTATTAGGCTCTGTGTGGAGTAAGGAAACTTGCCCGAGGTTTCGCCCTCTGCCTGGAATTGAACTCAGGTCTCTTGCAAAGCGAGTGCTCTAAACACTGAGCTACAGGACTCCACGACACTACATATCCCCCCCACACCCACCCCTCCCCCACACACACCTCCCCCCCACATTCCCCTCCTCCCCCCACACATCCCTCTCCCTTCACGCAGCCCCTTCCCCTCCTACACCACATTCCCCCACACACCACACACACCCTCAATCCACACAAACACATCGCCCACACCCCTCGCGCTCTGTGAAAGACAGAAGCACAGAAACAAACCAGCAAAACAGATGTTTTAATTTATTGTATGAAAATAGACATAAAAAGTTCACAGTTTAAAATAAATTCTGCCATCATAGTAATAATGTACATGTGTGTATCATCCGGTCACCATCTCGTAACGACGACGACAACACTTCAGTCAATAGAGAAACAGCCATTTTCAGTCATTGAAGAAAAATAGGATATTGTGTGAGACATTCCTGATTAAGGAACAGGTTAATTACACCGATGCCGATTAACAAGGAACCGCGAGGATTAGTCTGAATTCTGCCTCTGTGTTTTTGTGTGTCAAACACTGACTGATCAACAAAAAGGATAAAACCTAAACAGGCTCAGCATGTTTGTCTGATTATCACATGTGGATATGTATGATTGCAATATGGCTGTGTGTGATTGCTGTGTGGCTCCCTCTCGCTCTCCCTCTTGTTCTCTCTCTCCCTCTCACTAGTATCCATCTGAATCCCCCATTTTTCGGCTGTCGGACACGGCCTGGATACAACCCTGATTCCGGAAAATTCCCTGAACAATAGGCAGCAATAGCTCAGGTTTCACAACCTTGTGCTTCCGTTCTTCGAGTTTCCTAATGACTGTCTGCAGAGAGAGAGGGTGTGAGAGAGGGTCTGTGCTAGAAAGGGTGTGTGTGAGAGAGGGTGTGTGCGAGAGAGTGTGCGAGAGAGATTGTGAGAGAGAGGGGAAAAAGGGAGACACAGTGTCATAACCTTCAGGCTGGACTATGCAAACTCCTCCCTCCGCATACTGCAGATGATCCAGAACTCTGCAGCCCGTGTCCTCTCTCGCACCAGCCTCTGTGACCCCATCACCCCCAACCTCGCCCGACTCCACTGGCTTCCCATCACACAGAGGATACAGTTCAAGATCCTGGTCCTCACCTTCAAAGCCCTCCATGGCCTTGTTCCCACCTACCTCTGTGACCTACTGTACCACATACCATCCTGCTCGCTCCCTCCGCTCAGCGGGCTCTGGCCTGCTTCACGTCCCCCGTCTCGTCTGCCCCACCTTTGGCGCGTGGGCCTTCACCTACTCTGCCCCCCTCCCCACTCTGGAACTCCATCCCACAGTCTCGCCGCCTCACCCCCTCCCTTGCCTCCTTCAAGACCTGTCTCAAGATTCTCCTCTTCGACCGTGCTTTCGATCACCCTCCTTCCCCCCCTGCACATCACCATCCCCGCTCCCGACCCCCAGCTCGGGTCTGAAACACTGATTGTCCAGCACCTTGGGACATCCTCCTGACGTGAAAGGCACTATACAAATGTTGTTTTTTTGTTGTGAGTGAGAGGGAGATAGAGATGGGGGAGAGGGGGGGAGAGAGAGAGCGAAAGAGAGAAAGGAGGAGAGAGAGTGTGATACGGAGAGTGTGAATGTGTATGAGAGAGAAAGAGGGAGAGGCCAGGGGATTCCATTGCTCTGGGAAATTTACCTTATCAAATTGCTCCTCAAACTGCACCTCGTTGGATGATTTCACGTGAAACCTTTTCGCCTCAATCGCCTGCTTCATGTCCAACCCGAACCACAGCTTGTTCATCACAACCTAAGGGCGATGTCAGGTCTGGTCAGCCACAGACCTGCGCCCCCCCCCCCCCCCTCCCCACCACACTCTGCCCCTCCCCCCACACACACAAAATCCCCCCCCCGCCCCGCACACATACTGCCCGCGCCCCACCCCACACACACACACTGCCCCCCCCCACAGACGCACTGCCCCCCAAACCCAACACACACACACACTGCCCCTCCCCCCCCACACACAAAATCCCCCCCCCACCCCACACACACACTGCCCGCGCCCCACCCCACACACACACACTGCCCGCGCCCCACCCCACACACACTGCCCCTCCCCACACACACACTGCCCGCGCCCCACACACACACACACTGCCCCCCCCTCACAGATGCACTGCCCCCCCAAACCCAACACACACACACACACTGCCCCTCCCCCCACACAGACACAAACCACCCCACCCACACACACACTGCCCCCACACACCAACAGTGCCCCCCCACATACACACAGCCCCCCTACCCCACAGAGACCTGGGTGACGGCACTGATGATCATGCTGCCCCCCGAAGCCCCCACCAGTAGCACTGAGTGTCCATCACCAGTCGTCAACACCACTGGGGTCATAGCCGAGGGAGGCTGCTCCCCTGCACAGAGAGAGAGAGAGAGAGTGAGGAGGGGGTGGGGAGAGTGAGGGGAAGAGGGGGTGAGAGAGAGGAGGGAGAGAGAGTGTATGTGGGGAGTGGGGAGAGAGAAAGGGGGAGAGAGAGTGGGGGGAAGGAGAGTGTGAGAGAGAGTGGGGGATGGAGAGAGGTGGGGAGCGAGAGAGAATAGAGAGGGAAAGTGAGAGGGCTGTGCCTGTTTCTGACAACTCACTGTGTGGGGCTCGTGTGTTAGTGTGACCGTGACGCCTGGCTCTGTTAGCATGTGTTTCTGCTTGTGCTAGCGTGTGTTGGCGTGTGTCTGCATGTGTTAGCGTGAGTCTACATGTGTCTGCTTGTGCTAGCGTGTGTTGGCGTGTGTCTGCATGTGTTAGCGTGTGTCTACATGTGCTAGCGTGTGTTGGCGTGTGTCTGCGTGTGTTAGCGTGTGTCTGCTTGTGTTAGCGTGTGTTGGCGTGTGTCTGCGTGTGTTAGTGTGTGTCTGCTTGTGCTAGCATGTGTTGGCGTGTGTCTGCGTGAGTTAGCGTGTGTCTGCTTGTGCTAGCGTGTGTTGGCGTGTGTCTGCGTGTGTCTGCTTGTGTAGCGTGTGTTAGCGTGACGTGTACCTGGTTGCATCGGCTCCCCCCGGTCCAGACAGAAGTCCGCGAGTTGGTTGTTGAGGATCACACCCGTCGTCTCCGACACAAACATAGAGCCAAACCTGGAGAAGGGAGGAGGGCAGAGTCAGCACAGGCCCACCCACTGCCCCACCCACCCACAGCCCTGCCCACTGCCCCACCCACCCACAGCCCTGCCCACTGTCCCACCCAACCACAGCCCCACCCACAGCCCCGCCCACTGCCCCACCCAACCACAGCCCCACCCACAGCGCCATCCCCGCCCCACGACCCCACCCATTGACCCACCCACCGCGCCATCCCCGCCCCACGACTCCACCCATTGCCCCAGCCCTGCCCACTGCCCACAGCTCCACCCACTGTCCACAGCACCGCCCACACTGCGGTACTCACAGGTGATTGATGCTGCTGGTGACAGACACGCCATTGCCATTGATGTCCATCACCGCGATGTGGGCGGTGCCGTAGGTGTCGGGCCGGGAGTCACTCAGGCTGTAATATTGCGGGGGCTGTGACTGGTCTGTGATCCTCGCTCGCTGCTCAGCCGCAAAGCCATCAGTCAGCAGCCTGGTCACCTACATCAGGGACATGGTCAACAGCACCACCACGGCAATGAGAACCACAGCAACAGCGGCGATAGGGACACAGGGAAACACTCACCTTGCTCATGTTGTGGAAGGCCGAGTCCTGGAGGCTGAATTGTTGTCCGTTTCCAAACTTTAAGGCCTCGATGACCCGATGGTAAGTCTGTACCTTCTCGCTCTCCGACAGAGAGTCAGGACTGAACCCATAGCCTGTACATACAGCAAGCTTCACCTTCAGCATTCACACCACATGAACAATAGCCCAACCCCAGCAACAACTCCAGCCCCCAGGCCCCAGCCCTGACCCATGTGTCTGTGTCCATGTGCGCACCATGTAGTGCACACGGACAGACACATGGACACGGACAGATGGACACAAACACACACCTTTCAGTATGTTGAGGATCAGGCTGACAACAACTCCCCCTGAGGGTGGGGGTGGGGAGAACAGCTGATATTCCCCCAAGGAAATGTTGAGTGGCTCCATCTGATGAGCCTTGTGGTAACTCTTCAAATCTTCAGCTGTAAGATTGCCTCCTGCACAGAGAGACCACATTGTTAGCCCCAACCCAGCCTCCAGCCCAATCCCCAACCAAATCCCCAGCCTCCAGCCCCAACCCTAGGCCTGACAGGTACCTGCTGCCTGGATGTCATTGACCAGCTTCTTTGCTATTGGTCCCTGGTAGAAGGCATCAGCACCAAGTTGGGCGATGGTGGTCAGGGTGTCAGCGAGGACTGGCAAACGCAGCGTCTCCCCTTCCTTCACAGGCTCCCCGTCCTTACACAGCACCGAGCTACCAGCAACCACAGTGTGTCAGAGTAGTCCAGAATAAATAACCTTCCCTTTCCACACACATGCTCACACACACACACACATGCTCACACACACACACATGCTCACACACACACATGCTCACACACACACACATGCTCACACACATGCTCACACACACACATGCTCTCACACATGCTCCCTCACACACACACATGCTTGCTCTCACACACATGCTCTCACACACACATGCTCACACACACACATGCTCACACACACACATGCTCACACACATGCTTACACACATGCTTACACACACATGCTCACACACACACATGCTCACACACACATGCTCACACACATGCTTACACACACACATGCGTACACACACACATGCGTACACACACATGCTCACACACACACATGCTCACACACATGCTCACACACACATGCTCACATACACACACACACGTTCACATGCGCGCGCACACACACATACATGCTCACACACACACACACACACATGCTTACACACACACGCGCGCTGCTGAAAGGAGTACCGACAGTGTACAATACAAGAAATGTGGGGGTATACAGTACAGGCAATGTAAGTGTGTACAGTACAGGCAATGTGAGGGTGTACAGTACAGGCACTGTGAGGGGGTGAATTACAGACAGTGCTCACCACACAGATGTGTTGCGGATGTAGGGAAACCTTAAGAAAAGCTGCTTTAAGATCATGCTGAGGTAGCGCGGCACCGGGAAGCCTTGCCGGGCCAGGGTGATGGACGGCTCGAACAGTGATCTCCAGGGCAGTTTGCCATGCAGCCGGTGAGCAAGCTCATAGCCTCGGAGCTCACCGGGCACCGCGATCCACTGCACACCTAGTGAGAGAGACACAGTCATACACACACACACACCACACACCGAGCGAGGGAGAGTGTCACACACAGCCCTTCACATCTTGTGAGGGACAGATAGTCAGAGCGCACACAGCAGAAGTGGGTGTGAGTGTTACCTGGCTGCAGTGAGCGATGTGGATGACAGTCTGATAGGAGGTTTCTTCTGACGTTCTGAGGGACCGTCTCTCTGGCGTTTATCACTGTCACCTTGCCTGTAACAGCAACAGACAAATACTGTACACACAGCTACACAGCACAGCCTGTACACTGTACACACAGCTACACAGCACAGCCTGTACACTGTACACACAGGTACACACAGCACAGCCTGTACACTGTACACACAGGTACACACAGCACAGCCTGTACACACAGCTACACACAGCACAGCCTGTACACTGTACACACAGGTACACACAGCACAGCCTGTACACACAGCTACACACAGCACAGCCTGTACACTGTACACACAGGTACACACAGCACAGCCTGTACACTGTACACACAGCTACACAGCACAGCCTGTACACTGTACACACAGCTACACAGCACAGCCTGTACACTGTACACACAGCTACACAGCACAGCCTGTACACTGTACACACAGCTACACACAGCACAGCCTGTACACTGTACACACAGGTACACACAGCACAGCCTGTACACTGTACACAGATGTGATACTGTATCAATGTAGTACTTTGTATTGTATTGTACTTGTGGTTTTTAAGATTGCATTGGTTTTGGGACACCTGCCACGTTCCAGACCAGCACCAGGAGGTGCTGCGGTTGCTATGCTCGAGTCCCTGCACAAAGTGGCGCTGCCTCCCCAGCAGATGGTTAAAGAGACAGATGGATTTCTGTCAAAAATGCAAGTTACAATACAAGTTATAATAATAATAATAATCCTTGAATTTGATATAGCGCTTTTCACGTCTTCGCGACATCTCAAATCGCTTCACCGAATATACTGTATTAAGATATAAGTTATAAAATAATCGCATCTTATCAAGTTCTTATCAAGTCAATACGCCTCAAAACCGCACCGTAATTACTGTCATGTGCAGAGAATGGCTTTTTGTGGGCAAAGCTAGTAATTTTCCTATTTTCTACACAAACAACCACGAAAATCTCTCGTCCTTGAATAACGTCCAATTGACCAGGCACAAATAATAATAATAACTGTTGCATTATCATGACTTTGAGACATCTCAAAGCGCTTCACAGGTTATATAGGGAATTAACTGTATATTTTGTGTATTTCCAGGGCAGGTAACAACGCACACTTGTTCCTGTGACAGGATTGAGAGCTAAGCCACTACATGTGCTGCCCTGAGGGCTGAGTAAAGCTGCTGACAGACACACTGCTACAGGCAGAGATGTGGGAAGCTGCGGAAATGACACCCACTCAGATATGTCGCAGGTTTCTGCATTCACTGGTAATAGTGGGAACAGGACAACAGCTTCCGCAGGTTCAGCACTGGGGGCTTCTCCTGGGCATGACTCCTGTCTTCCCATCGTCTCTGGCCGCCATCCTGTCTTGTTGATCGGTCTCTCTCTCCCCCTCTCTCTTTGTCTCTTCCTCTCTCTGACTTTCTGTCTCTCCCACTCCCCTCTCTGTCTCCATCTCTCTCTCTCTATCCCACTGTTGGGAGTCCCGCTGCCCCTGTCCCCCTCTCACCCTCGCGCCTGCTGTCACCTAACCACAGGCAGCAAACCCTGAACTCTGAGGCTGAGGGAAACTGACGCTTCGACAGCAGTGCGAGCCGCCACCTCGCCCTGCACTCGCTCCCCTAATGTAGGACTACGTGGAAAACAGTCACTACACTAAACAGGAAATCCGTAAAGCCCTTTGAGATGTTCTCCCATGGGTCAAAGAGAAGGTTGTTTGTTGCTATTTGCCCCGCGGAGGCCGGCAGACGTAGGTGGGGGCCTACGGTCACCTCCCCCACCGGCTCGGCAACGTGCTCCGCCACCATCAAGCACTCGGGGATGCTCCGCCGGGTGAGGGGCAATGTGTAAATACAAGTTGTTGTTGTTGTACCTGTTGTCGCGTTATAAAGGGTGAAGATGGCTCCGCCCCCGATGCCCATACTCTGGGGGTTCATCAGAGAATCGCAAATCAGAGCAGCAATAGCGCCATCGACTGCCGAGCCGCCCCGCTGCAGGGTATCACTGGAACAACAGAGCAAACACTTGGCTTTCTGCAGTAATCCTGGCAGTGAGAGAGAGGGGGAGGGAGAGGGCGGCTCCCTGCTGACAGCCTGTGAGCCTTACGGGAAATTCCCGCTGGAAATGGCATATGCGCATTCGCTCTCCCCCAAGGGACATTCCCAGATTACCTAATTCTGAAAAGTATTAGCTGCAAGTTGGCAAGACCAACTAAACCCACACAGCTTTATTTTGGGATCACTGTGTCCCCACCTTTCAGAGCCTCGGCTGGCAGGGTTCCTGGAGGCTGAGTAGGATGATGTCCTGCTTGTTCAGCTGGAGGTTAAAATCCTGTGAGGCTATTCGACATCAGAAGGGAATTTTTCTCTCTCCCCCACCCTCCCCTCCGCCACCGTGTCCTGGCCAACAATCCCTCAAATAAACTTGGTCACTCAATCCATGAGTGTTTGCGAGACACTGCTGAGTACAATTGGCTGCTGTGTTTCACCCACAAAATGCACAGCGATTTGAGAGGTGTTGACAATGTGATAAGGTGCTATACCAAATGCAAGGTTTATTATTGTTAGTGATGCCATTCACTATCACTGACTTGCTGCTCACTATTGTTGACTCACTGATTGCTCACTCTTAATTATTATGAATTAATTTTTATTCATTAATAATATAACAATGAAGGTAGTAATGTGATGCTGATTGCACAAACACTCAGTGTAAACGATTAACCAGAGTCAGAGATTTGCTTTTGAACCTTTGAATAATTGTTCCTGACTCTGGGGCAGTTTCCAAACAAACACACTCTGCTTCACAACCCCCCACCACCCGCCCCTCCCCGCCTGCACACACACACACACACACACATATGGTGCACACACACACAACGTGCGCACACACACACACACACACACACACACAGATATGATGCACACACACGTGCACACACACACAATGTGCGCACACACACTGATATGGTGGAGTCCTGTAGCTCAATGGTTAGAGCACTCGCTTTGCAAGTGAGAGACCTGAGTTCAATTCCAGGCAGAGGGCGAAACCTTGGGCAAGTTTCCTTACTCCACACAGAGCCTAATAATAGTCCCTCCAAAACCAAAAACAATAATAAATTGGTCATTTTCAATCTACGACTGTTTGTGGGACATTGCTGTGCACAATTGGCTGCCGCGTTCGCCCACAAATATACAGTCAATTCACTTTACAGTGTGTTCTGTGAAGCGCTTTGGGACGTCCTCCCGACGTGAAAAGCGCTATATCAAATGCAAGGATTATTATTATTATGGTGCACACACACATACATACACATATGTGCACACACACACACACAGATATGGTGCACACACACACAATGTGCGCGCACACACACGTGAACACACACACAATGTGTGCGCACACACATGTGCACACACAGATATGGTGCACACACACACAATGTGCGCGCACACACGTGAACACACACACACACACATGTGCACACACACAATGTGTGCACACAGATGTGCACACACACACACACAGATGTGCAGATCCCCAGTGCCACCTGTGGTATTGATTACCTGCCGATGCGGGAGCAGAGCGGAGAGTCAGCGGCCACGGCGCCGTGTCTGTAGCTGTGCGGTGCGGGACAGCGCCCGTTGCGGGTCAGAGTCCCCAACAGCACAGCCGCCGCCACCAGGAACAGCAGCAGCACCAGAGCCGGACAACCGCAACGCCGCAACCGCTCCGGCAACATCGCGGGGGGGAGAGGGAGAGCAGAGAGGGAGAGGGGCAGGAGAGAGGGAGAGGGGCAGGAGAGAGGGAAGGAGACAGGAGAGAGGGAGAGGGGCAGGAGAGAGGGAGAGGGGCAGGAGAGAGGGAGAGGGGGCAGGAGAGAGGGAGAGGGGCAGGAGAGAGGGAGAGGGGCAGGAGAGAGGGAGAGGGGCAGGAGAGAGGGAGAGGGGCAGGAGAGAGGGAAGGAGACAGGGAGACAGGAGAGAGGGAGAGGGAGAGGGACAGGAGAGAGGGAGAGGGACAGGAGAGAGGGAGAGGGGTAGGAGAGAGGGAAGGAGACAGGGAGACAGGAGAGAGGGAAGGAGACAGGAGAGAGGGAAGGAGACAGGGAGACAGGAGAGAGGGAGAGGGACAGGAGCTGAGGGCAGACGGTGATCTGAGCAGCTCTGCCTGTGACCGACTGACTCACTTTCTATCTGATTCTCTCACTGACTCTCTCACTCTCACTCCCTCTCTCTCACTGACGCTCTCACTCTCTCTCACTGACACTCTCACTGACGCTCTCACTCTCTCTCACTGACACTCACTGACACTCTCACTCCCTCTCTCTCTCACTGACTCTCATTCACTGACTGACTCCGATATACACTCACACACTGATATACACTCACAAGGAGTGTCACATACAGTGTGTCAGTTTGTATGTGTGTGTATTCGAGTGTGTGTCAGTATGTATGTATGTATGTATGTCTGTCAGTGTGTGAGGTCCAGTTTGGCTGTGGACATGTCACTGGCCGGAGGGAGTGTTTAAAGGGAACCGGGACTTGGGAAGCAAAGCATTACAGTAAGACACATAGAAAGGCGATTACAAGCCAAGTCAAGATGCCCAACGTGTCTGAGTGTTTCCTCCTTGGAGACAACTTCCTCATCACTAGGACTTGTTCAAGATCACACTCCAGCAGTTACCCCAACGCACACTCTGGGGCTCCCCAAGCCTTGGCTCTTGCCAACCTGCGCCTAATACTTTCCGGAAGGAGGTAAGCGGGATGTATCCCTCCAAAGAGAGAGAGAACATTCCATTCCAACAATCTATCTCTGGGATTTCCATGTGTAGGTGAGGTGGGATACGTGGAAATCTCAGCTTGGTTTGGAGACTCTGAAGCAGGTGATGGGTTTTCCCATGTGTCAGACTCCTGCCTGACCCAAAAAGAACTATACAGTGATAGCACTTTGCCCTGTGAGGTGCTTTGGGAATGGCTTCCAACGCGACAGTCTGTATTTAATGAAGTGATTATGATTATTATTAATAGTCCCAGACATTTATAACTAACCTCCGAATCTCACCACTTCTCACAAGCCCAGACATTCCCACTCCCTGCAATCAGCACAGACAGGTGCCTCCCATAAAGTTTGTCAGCCACACCCACACACCCTCCCCCCACACACAGCCCTCCCCCCACACGCAGCCCCCCCCACACGCAGCCCTCCCCCCACACGCAGCCCTCCCCCCACACACAGCCCCACCCACACGCAGCCCTCCCCCCACACGCAGCCCTCCCCCCACACGCAGCCCTCCCCCCACACACAGCCCCACCCACACGCAGCCCTCCCCCACACGCAGCCCTCCCCCCACACACAGCCCTCCCCCCACACACAGCCCCACCCACACGCAGCCCTCCCCCACACACGCAGCCCTCCCCCACACACGCAGCCCTCCCCCCACACGCAGCCCTCCCCCCACACGCAGCCCTCCCCCCACACGCAGCCCTCCCCCCACACGCAGCCCTCCCCCCACACACAGCCCCACCCACACGCAGCCCTCCCCCCACACGCAGCCCTCCCCCCACACGCAGCCCTCCCCCCACACACAGCCCCCCCACACACAGCCCCCCCATATAGCCCCACCTCAAACACAGCCCTCCCCCCACACACAGCCCTCCCCCCAAACGCAGCCCTCCCCCACACGCAGCCCCCCCCACACACAGCCCTCCCCCCAAACGCAGCCCCCCCCACACGCAGCCCTCCCCCCACACGCAGCCCTCCCCACACGCAGCCCTCCCCCCACACGCAGCCCTCCCCCCACACGCAGCCCTCCCCCCACTCTGCCCTCCGCCTCACCTTGAAGCCTGTGCCAGGCAGTGATTGAGAGTCTGAATAATGTGCTGAACAATGCCCGGTGGCCATGTGTGACTTTGCCAAAGATCTGAGCCAAAGAGGAGACTTGCACAACACACACTGAACATCTCAGCCTCGTTACTAATTACGTTGCTTTAAAGCTGCGCGGCAGCTTGTAGTGGGGCAGTGATGGCAACCCTGGAGCGTAGTGACTGTGCTGCTCAGACTGGCTGCTTTGCTCAGTCTGGGTGGGGTCAGGGCTGACACTCAAACACACTCACACAGAGCCCCTCTTCCCCAGGAGTGGGACAGGGAGATGGAGGGGGAGAGGGACAGGGAGGGGGAGAGAGAGGTGGAAGGGGAGAGGTCAGTGGCTGGGGTTTGCCCTTCTCGGGGGTGGGGTCAAGGTGTCTTTCAACAAATACAAATGCTATAAAGTGTAGTTTTGTGGGTGAAACATGGCAGCCAGTTGATCACAGCAGTGTGCCACTAACTCTCGTGGATGGAATTATTTTTCGAAGGATTATTAACACCAAAAAACAATCTGCCAATCGACCTGTTTACTGCTGGCACACAGAGGCATGCGGAGTGATGGAAACTTGGCTAAACTCTGTCTAATGGCTTTAGGAGCTGAGCTGATCGAAGCCTTGGCCCGCCCAAGGTTGATCATGCCAGTGAAGGTAAATTGCTGAGTTCACTTCCTCTTACAAATACACTTAAACCCCCAGGGCCTGTGATTAACATATATTCATAGCCGCTCTTGAAGCAACGCACTGTCATCCAAGCATCTCACCTCAAACACACCACCATCACCAACATGTAGCTACACATTGACAGCACACATACTGAGATTGCCATCTTTGATACACAATAAACCCTTTAATTCTCTCCCCCTCTCCAATGCTCTCCTCCTCTCTTTACCCCCCTCTCCTCATTCCCCTTCTTCTCCCTCTCTCTCTCACCCCTCTCTTTCCTCCTCTTAGCCCTCCCCAGCCTCGCGTTGTGGTGAAGAGATACCTGGGGCTTGGCGGGGGAGGGGGGCTGAGGTGTCTGTATGTGTACGTGTGAGTGTATGAGAGGGGGAGTGAGGTGCCTGTATGTGTGGTGTGTCTGAGGGGGGCAGGTGTAGGTACCTGTACGTGAGTGTGTCACCTGTTACCCTCAGTGAGTTGCAATCTGAGTGCAATGTTCACTCAGAGTGAGATGATGCCTTGTGGAATCCTGTAGGTCAGTGGTTAGAGCACTCGCCTCGCAAGCGAGAGGACCTGGGTTCAATTCCCGGGCAGGGCAAAACTTTGGGCAAGTTTCCTTACTCCAGACGCCTCTGTTTACCTAGTAGTAAGTAGGAACCCAGTTGATAATTGATTGGCGGATCGCTTTCCGGGGGTAATAATCCCTTTTTAAAAAAATGTGGTCACTGAAATCACAAGAGTTTGTGGGACACTCCTATGTGCATTTCGCGCCAAAATATATACGGTCACCACACTTACAGTATATTCTAAGAAGCGCATTGAGACATCTCAAAGATGTGATAAGGCGCTGTGTCAAATGCAAGGATTGTTATTATTATTATTTAATCGCCAACCAGAGGAGATGAAAGCTCATTGCTGTTTCTCAGTGACTGGGTTCGTGTTGCAGCGTTCTGGCTTGTCTTGTTAAACGCTGATATGAAAGAACATGTTATGTTCTGATTTCAGAAAATATTTAGTGGAATGAAAATGAGGTGGAGCTGATATAGAGAGGTAGTGCAGAGGTAAAGCCAAGGCAAGATCTTCAGTTGTGCAAACGCAGCAGGACAAGAGGGCACGTGTGTGGGGGCTGGGTAGGGGGAGGAGGTGTGTGGGCCGGTTTCAAGATCCTCTCGCTTGTTTTCAAATCCCTTCATGCCCTGGCACCTCCCTAACTGCTCACGCCCCACTCCACCACCTGCTGCCTCCGCTCGGCTGGCTCTGGCCTCCTATTCACCCCTCGGCCCCTCCACTCCGCCATCGGCTGTGCCTTCAGCCACTACACCTCGAAACTCTGGAATTCTCTCCCTCAATCCCTCCGCCTTGCCCCCTTCCTCCCCACCTTCATATCCCGCCTAATGACCTTCCTTTTTGATTGTGCTTACGGTCACCTCCCACCTCTCTTTCCCCCCGGCTCAGGGTCAGACTCCGCCAATGTCAAGTGCTCCGCGACGCCAACCCACCTGAAGGGTGCTATATAAATACAAGTTGTTGTTGTAACCGTGCTGCCACAGATCCTCCACAGGCTTACCCCAGACACACACTGCAATGAATGTATTAGTGTTTTACTATGACAGGCTGTCAGGTTATAATTACACAGGGACAGGGGCAAGTTCAGACTGCTTTCTCTCTGACTGAAAGGCTTGGAGCTGCAACAGTTTGATTAAACAAACAGAACAAGGGTTGGAGTAAGGCCCCACTGATGGCTGCTCACTATGTCTCTCTGCTCCCACTCGATTTCACACCGTACGCCAGTCTCCAGCCATGAATTTAGTATGGCCATCACACACTCCCTCTATACTGCCTCCACACTCCCTCTACACTATCCCTCCACACTCCCCGGATAATTCTCCAGAGATTGTGAGTAATCTACTAACATCCAGCATTCTGTTCTAATCAGTGTTTATTTCACTTTAGTTACTGGAATGTTTATTGGCAGGGATGGTGCTCTGATACATCCCAGTGAAGGGGCTGTGAGAGGCTAAATGGGGGTTTCAGTGACTCAGTGATTACACACACAAACACACACACATACTGTGGTCAGGGTCTCAGCATCGCTGTGTGTCTGGAATGGGGATCAGTTATAGTCACATCCTGATCCAAAACACACATCGTCGCCAACACTGATGGGGAGAATCCAGCCAACATGTCAGTATCCCACAGGGAGGCTTGGGCTGCAGTAACTCATTACTCCTTTCATCCAAATCACTTCAATGTTAATAATCCTTGCAT